AGAAGTAAAGGACCATTGGGAAAGCTTCATAATGCTATTATCTATATCCGCGTTACACCACAGCGAAGAGAGGAGTTTCTGGCAAAGGCGCGTGAAAAGTTAAGAGAGCTAGAGCCGATAACAGAAGATATAGATGAGGATCCTGAGACAAAAGACCCGCTTATCCCGGTACAGGATAATGATACACGCTGGAATTCCTGGTTTTCAATGATTGGACGAGCTCTTAAGCTTAGAGACGCAATCAACCTATTCATTAAGCGTCATGTTGAGAAAAAGGATGAAAGCTCTCTTTCTAAACATGATGAACTCTCCAACAGTGATTGGGATATTGTCATTCGAATAAAAGAAATCCTTGAACCTTTTTACATGCTCACAAAGCGCACTGAGGGACGGGCTACAAGAGGATCCTATGGAGCTTTATGGGAGGTTCTACCAACTATAGAATTTCTCTTGGGAACGTTGGAGAGGAAGGCTATGGAGTATGGCGCAAATCTTGAAAACTGGAAGAAGATGACAAATAAGAATGCTCCACACATTCTTAAGCAGATGGATATTACACTTCCTGAACACAAACACATACTTCAATGTGTGAAGAATGGGTGGAGCAAGCTGGAGAGCTATTATAAGAAATTGGACGAAAGCCCTGTCTATGCTGCTTCAATACTTCTTCACCCAGCACATAAATCGCAATTTCTTAAGCGTCATTGGAAGGAGAAGCCGGATTGGATTGCAAAAGCTGAAGAAGAAGTTAAAACACTTTGGCTAACAGTTTACAAGGACATTGCTAAACCTTCCACGAACCCTCTTATCCTTCCTTCAACAAAACAACGCGACCCTAGCGATTTTGATCAATATCTACTCCCTCCTGATTATAACGATGACGAGCAAGGCGAAGAGGAGGATGAATTTGAGCAATACATGAGGATCAAATCCGTCATCGTGAAGGCAGGGGACTTATTTGATATTTGTGGGTGGTGGAAGGCTCATGAAAGCCAATGGCCTTCGCTAACACGTATGGCATTTGATATGATGGCTATACCAGCCATGAGCTCTGAATGCGAGCGCCTTTTTAGCTCTACGAAGCTTCTACTCTCAGATCGTCGTGCCAGGATGAAGGAGGATATCATTGAGGCTTCAGAGTGTCTTCGATATTGGTATGCTACGAATCGAGCACTGGATTAGGGAGAACGGGGACCCCTGTAACGCGGAGCATTAGGACCACTCGGCAACATCAATCTCCAACTTCCAAAATCGACCTCGTAACAGTATTATACTCGACAACTCACCTAGAGGTTGTCATTTAGGAAGTCCTCTACTAATTTTCTACGTTCGTGGTACGTTGCGTAGATTTACGGGCTAGATTAAATAATACGAGTTTATCGAGGAGATTGACTACTGTCGAGTAGAATACTCCCCCCCGGCCACATAATTTATAGATTAAATCCGATGGCGGTGGCATATCATAAGATCCGATCCATAGATCATGTCGATATCGAGGGTCGTTCGTTAACACTCCGTTACGAGCCATCTCGAGTGTGATTAGTAAGGGCTTGAATGGTCCACAGACTGGATCCGATGGCGGTGATCTTTCATCGGATCCAATCTATAGATCATCTCGATATCGAGGCTCATCCGTTAACGCCCCGTTACGAGCCATCTCGAGTGTGATCAGTAAGAGCTCGTCTTAGGTGGTCCACAGATTGGATCCGATGAAATACCACGACCCATCGGATCCAATCCATGGACCACGTCGACATCGAGGCTCGTCCGTTAACGCTCGGTTACGAACCATCTCGAGTGTGACTAGTAGAGCTTGTCTGAGATGGTCCACAGACTGGATCCGATGCGTGGATTATCTCGATATCGAGGATATCGATATCTATCGAGTAGGGTGCCCCCCCGGGCACATAGGCCCCCAGGGCACGTGATCCCGGAAAATGGTTAATCCGTTGAAGGTCGGGCGGTCTATAGACTGGATCCGATGGGCGACGAGAGGAGGATTTCATCGGATCCAATCCATGGATCACATCGAGTTGGGAGGGCGGCCCCCGGGCACGTGATCCCGGAAAAAGGTTAATCCGTTGGGTGTCGAGTGGTTCATAGACTGGATCCGATGGGCGACGAGGGGAGGGCCATCCCGGGGTTATCACGTGATCTCGGAAAATGGTTACGTAATAACGCCAAGCCATGTGCTTACGTGATTGGTCGGCTCGCCGCTCTTGGCGTTACCGCACAACGCCAAGCCCTAACCAGGCGATTCCAAAATTAAAAAATAAAAAAAAAAAAAACAAGTTTATATTTTATAATGCCAAAAATTGCTTCAAAATTGACACCAAATCGTGGTTGACCTATCAAGGACGTAACCGAGTGGTAAAACACTCGGCTTGCAGTCGAACCGATAGAATTGAGGGGCCTTACTAGTGTTCGATCATAGGTGAGGTAAGAGGGTTGTCCGGCCTAGCTTTCTAGGTGCCCTAGATGGGTAAACGTAATGCTCCAGCCAGTGATTGTTGATGATGTCGTCTTGTTTATACGTTGGGAGGTCACTGATTCAAACTCTTCCGTAGTTGAACTTGTCTGGCTGAAGCTTTCACTGGCTGCGGCGCCCCATCTATAAGTTCATCAGAGATGGACTATAGGAGGGGGCTGTTTATTTTCTTAATTATTTTTTGTTTACGTATACATAAACCGTCTATCTTATAGAAGATTTGCTTAATCTCAATGCGAATACTACGATAGCGTTTAGATATAGTGAAGTTGCCGGGTAGTCTTAATGCTCCGCGTTACCCCTGTTAGGTTTGGCAATCGGAGATTGCAATCGCCAATCCCGATGGAATCGGGCCAATCGATTGCAATCCGATTACGTTGGCATCGGAATCCCGATGGATCGGCGATTGGATTCGATTATTGCGAACATTGATTATCACTACCCTACCATTAGGTACATGATACGCTCTGCTCCCAGCCTTGTACTCCTAGTCCCCGACCTCAACCCACGTGACGTCCACCCGTTGTGGTGTGATAATTGGGGCTTCAATTATCAAACGATATAAGTGGCTACGGTGGCTTGGCTCGATGAATTCGAGTCATGCCAGCACTTTTTGGCACGTGATACTGCATCTGTAGCCCAGGAAATCACAGTGGCACACGTAACAATGGGCTCTTCGGGCCATGCCTGTGTCCCGCTCTGGAACACCAACTGCATTACCAATAAGGGATAAGATGGAGGACGAGCCGCTCTCGACGCCTCACTTGGAAACGACAGCAGGCAGAAATCGGGTTCGCAGACCCGGGGTAGCCTCGAAAAGTGCTGAGGACCAACGAGACATTGACACTCGCTAGTCAAACAAAGTACGCCTGATCCTAGTCGAGCGCCCCACACCGTGTTCATTCACCCCGTCCAATCGCGACTCCGCACTCGCCACGCCACAAAACAAAGGGAATCCAGGGTCCAACCCCCCGGGTGTCTCATTTCTGCGCCGCGGCTCTCCACTGATTTGTCGCCCTCTTGCCCGATCCCTACATTAACGCCCATATCTATCCTTTCGAGTTACTTCCTCGGATGATCAAAAGACACCCCTCCCTCCGCGTTGGCGCACAAGGTTGAGACGTCCCAACGACGGCGGAATAGGTCGAAGTCACAACCTGAGGGGTGACACCCGGTAAGGCATCGAATTGTATCTCCGGACCGAAATAATAGGAGAGCGAGAGCCGAGCTTGTCACGTGGAACGCTAGGCCTAGTTGGGACTAGCCCGCTAGAGCTCTCGTTTACTTCTTCCATTCCTGCAACCTCACACAACTCTTAGAAGAACAAGACACAGATAGACCATAACAACGACTACTTCAGTCAACCTTTGCCATTGCGGTATTCCATTGCTTCCCCCTCTCGTCCCAGATATGACAGAGCTCTTCCCTGGGACTTCTTCTCCATTCATACCTTCGAAATCCCAGCTCTCTACGCTTGGGCCTTTGTTGCTATACTACATGGAAATCCAAAAACAGTTAGGTCGACACGGTGATGTAGCTGAACAAGAGTCCATGCATCGACAACAAATCCCCATTCACGCTAGGCAGGAAAGGCATGCCATGCCAAAGATTGGTGCTATTGTCAGTGGCATACAGATAATGACGGACTAGTGGCAGAGATCTGGATGTTGAAGCCGGTACAGGCACGCGGGGGCTCGTACGGCAGGACTGTGCACGATGGACAAAATGTAAGCAGGAGACCCCGGTTGCCTGGTCGAAATCGTCTCAGCCTGCGTTCTGCTGCGATTTGCTATGCGGTAGTTCCATCACCCTGCTCGGTCGGGATGCCATGCATTCCCGTTCAGCGTTGGTGGCTTGCCGTAAACTGGAACATGTAGCCCTATATACAGCAGGTCCAAACGCCGCCGAGTTTCCTGTGACGATAGTGGGGATTATTGCACAACGAGTCACGCTGATCGGATTGTTTCAGAAGAACTTGTGGTATGCCGGCTCGGCCTACAACGGCGAATTCCACAACGATTTAAGGTAGTACGATTCGAGTCAGAAGGATTTTCGGTGGGTCGGCTCGTCCTATAACGACGGATTCCACAGCGATTTATAACTCGGTCCCATAACACTTCATAGGGCTTGAGAAAAGCGAACGTTAAATCTTAGTTCTTTCACCTCCACATTTAGACTTATTCCTGCAAGATGTGAGGACATTCAAAAAACATAATCCTATATTTCAGTTCTTGCGCTGCCTCAAATCTTTTGTAAATATACGGAATGATAGGCTGATGGAGGAAGTCGGCAGACTCTCCGACGGAGTAGAGCTAGTTCCCAATAGGCCTAGCGGCCTTCACGGGCGTGACAACAACAATCACTACCACCACCACCACCACCACCACCACCATCATCATCATCATCATTATTTTCATTCTTGTTGTTATTATCATCACCCACTACCGGATTTCTTAGGGCCCATTATTGCTCTCTTCAGTTTGGATGTCTCGAGCTCGGTTCATGGAACGAGATGGACAACCCCCTAACCTCGGCAGAGTTGGAAGTCGCTTGGCGTCCCATCCTATCGGTGCGAGACTTGACCCTCAGCGATCAAGACTTGGACAGAAATTGCCCCCTCACTCTACACCGTCGTCGCAAGAAAGCAAAGTATGGCCTCGGAAGACTTGATGTTCTTCCCTTCGAGATTCTCAACATGATTCTACTTCACCTGGATATACAGTCCTGCATGTCACTGCAACGGACTAACCGTCGAGGATATGACACAGTACATGAAATGCCGCAGCTCAAGGCTATCATCCAACACTGCCCAGATGTTCTACGTGGGATTCTCAGTACTGAGATGGCTCCCTTTATTGAATGCCAACAGCTATTCAACAAACTCACCTCCCCTACCTGTGAGACTTGCAACGACTTCGCCGGGTACCTATACCTTCTTACGTGTACTCGTGTCTGCTTCCGCTGTTTTACCCGGCTTCCCAACTATCTACCTATTTTGAAATCTGAGGCTTGTTGTCAATTTGGTTTCTCTACGACTGACATAAAGCGGCTACCATATTTGAAGAGCGTCCCTGGTCACTACACCATCAACAGAACGAGCTGCCGTAAACGGCTTATTCTCATTAATACAGACACTGCTCAGCAGACCAGCACTGTCATTCAGGGCCGCGCCTCTACCATAAGGCCATATGGCACATTACTCGCTGAACAGGGAGTGACAGCATATACTCAAAGGAGAGCCCAAAGAGCGGAAGAAGCGAGGTCGCGGCGCCCGGAAGCACCTCATATCAAGGCACCTCATGATACCCTAGAGTATAATCCCAGGAGGTTTATGGCGATTGTTGAAATACCTTACCTCGACCTTCGGAACGGAAGAGCAGATTGGGGGATTTGCTGCTACGCTTGTCGAAATGAGTTCGGGAACCTCAGACACTCGAGACGTCAATTCTTGATCGCTGGCTTCAGACAACACATGCGGCAATGTGGCGAAGTTATCGACAACGAACACGTGGGCGCAACAGGCGAGGCCAACGACGACCAACAAGTGAGTGTAGCGAGCGAAGAAGACCACTGAGAAACTCGAAATTCCAAAAGGAAATTCTAATCTCACGGTGATCGAGATAGAAATACGCTTCTTTGCTTCATTGCGTAAGATTTTACCAAATGCTGAATATTATTGCACAGTTGTTCGGTAGCAGAGGGGGTGAGAGAGTGGTAGACGATGACTCAAGGTAGATCTTGGGTGTAGCTTCAAGCGAATGACAGATACATGAAATGATTCTTTCGACCTTTCCGCACAGAACCTGGTTCTCCATCCTCATGCTTTCTTCGTCAACCAGGGAAAAAAGCTCATATCAGCTAGAGTTCCAACCTCAGAAAGACTTTCGAACTTTTCTTTCTGGATGCAGTGCTTAACGCCTTCCATGGTTTCCCCCTCCCACGCGACCATCGCGGTTGTTATCAGTGCGGCGCATCTCGTCTTTTCCGGGTGTGACCATGTGCCTGCTACACATGTGCCTAGACGCTCTGACCGCCCCCTGCATGACTGGACGACATTTGACGTTAGTGCCGCGGCGTTCTCGACACTGGTGGAACTCCTCTGGCTTGAGGCAGCCGCAAGTGTAACGTCTATAGTCTTGCGTGCACATAATGTTGAATTCGTGCGGTCGATGCCTAGTTCAAGTGTCAGTCAACGTCAACGGCTCTGAATGTTTGAAAGAGCAAAATCTGAGCCCAATTAAGATTGGTCTTTTAAAGGATGCCGTACCTTGATCGTGCAAATGACTTCGTGGTGAAGGAGTGTCTCTCGCAGCTGATATCTAAGCTTTGGATACTAATCGATGATGTTGATAGAAGTGAGCAGAGACTTGACCTTGATAAGTGTTCTTATATAGCAAAATTATCCTGTCATCCTGAGACCGACAATGAGACCGACTATCGTAAAAGGTGTTGGCCCGAACAAGATGGGAGCTGAAACTACAGCGCTTTCTGATGCTCCTAGCATTTCATTACAGTTCGGAAATAGTAACAAAGTGGCGGCAGGCGCTGGGTTTCTGAGGGATTCAAGCATTCGCCTATGGCAGGCCATTCCCTAAGCTAAGGTCGGGGGGTTAAAAGATTCAGAGCAGCGCCCTACTATGTGTATGTAGAGGTAATGCCGTTGGCGGCTCGGAGCCGCCTCGACCATTGTTTTTCGAACATGTCACATGTTCAGCATATTGTACAAGAAATCATTGGCCAGCAATAGTTGCCACGTCCGTCACATGCCAACGTTCCTATCGAGCTAAGCCAAGACCCCTTCAAACTGCGCAACCACGAAACTGCGCAGCCTCCTATCTCACTACCTCTACAACTTCGATGCCTCCGATGGCACGGTAACGTCGTCGGTGACGTGGAATTGGTGTATGAACGACCCAATATCCCTCTGGAAAAGCTCATCAGCTAGTTCTTGAGCCATTTTGGCTCTATCCTTCTTGTTGTATTCGGCTCGACGTTCCTCAATCTCTTTCTGTCCCACGAAAGAAGTCCTCACCCCGGTAAAGGCGGATTCTAACCATTCTTTTATCTTGACACCACTGGAGCAGATTTGTCCCCAATGGCCATCTACGACCGAATTCAAATCCTCAACCTCGAGGTGGACTCCGAGAATGTGAGCTATTACCGTATCTTGGTCGATGGCAAATCATTTAAATATATCACAATTGATGCTGGCGTCTACAATCCGAAAGATATGACATGGGATAGTATGATCATCCCACAGCTGCCACTAATGCCCGAAGGCGACTGGAACGAGGGGCATGTCGCAAGCCACCCCGAGCAAGGAACCCCTTATTTCTCTCGATATGCAAAGGTCGAGCTTCCGACGATCGTCAGTATATGGCATCCGGTGCAGATAGATTGGCTCGAACTGGAGCGAGCGCAACGACTTCGAAGCAATGTTTGTACTGCGACCCTAAAGGGGAATATTGGGGAAATGAGGGCAGGACATGAAGTTGTCATCAAATTTGCAAGGTTTCCATGGGAAGTCCAGTACTTCGAGGATGAAACAAGGTTTTATGAACGTCTTGATGGGCAAGGGATCGCACCACAATTCCTGGGCCATTTAACAGAAGAAGGAAGAGTCGTTGGGCTAGTGATCGAGTACATCAAAAACGCGCGACACGCCGGTCCAGAAGATGTGGGTGAATGTGAAGATGCTATGAGGAACTTGCATCTGCTAGGCATGTTACATGGTGATGTGAACAGACACAATTTTCTTGTACGCGAAGCTGATAGACGGAAAACCGTTACAATTGTTGATTTTGAAAATGCGTCGGAGTGTACCGAGGCCGGGGTGTTTGAACAAGAAATCGACCGTCTTCGGGATGAGCTCCACTTAACTGACGGAAAGGGCGGCTATCATGTTGAAATTGTCGATGAGGACGACTAGTTTTGACACGAGAAGCAATGCAGAGTACACACGCCCACGGATATATTAGCGCTACCAGAGAATGCTACACGCAATATTGTCAACTGGCATAAAGAGACAGAAGAAGGTGGCATCTGGCTTGACATGGGAAACGAAAATGAGACGCGCAGGATTCATATGCATCCCTGGATACATCGAGAATCATCAGAACACGACTCGGACACTTCTGATGCTTCTGATCCTGGTCCTCGTGAAGTATTTGACAAAGCCAATGTTCAGAGATGGCTACGGAATATCTTCGCAGATCCTTGCGAAGACAATGATATGCCATCTATGCTAAACGTGACATCGACCTGAGACAGTCTTCGATTGGTATAACATGTCAAGAATATTGAACGAACGGGATGTTTGTCCCTGTCTGCATTGACCATACACAATAGCATAGTGAAATAAGCTCATAATTCTCGTACACAAAGAACAGAGACCCTTTTCCAGTCATCATTTCTCTTCTTGATCTGCTGCTTCACAGCAGCTATCCTCCTCTGCAGCTCCTTTTGGCCGTAACTCTTCCCGAACAGTTGCTCGCATCGTTGCCGCAGTTCTCCGCCAACAAGGCTATCCATGGTAATCAACGATGATTTCCACGTGACACAACAGCCACCCAGTTTTGACTTTCCCAGAAGGCGCAATTCCAAGTTTTTACAACTGCCGAATCGCTGCCCTCATCTGTAAGCAACTAGCTTCTCTGGTGTTTCCGGAGACCCCTTGCGGCGTAGATGGGGAAGGTCATCGCGTCGACAAAGTGGAGCAGGTCATGTCACCATAATGTGATAAGGGACAACGGCTTCGGGTATCCTGAGGGTAGTTATGATCACGGCGACGGCGGTCTCAGAGTGAGGAGATGGCATGGGCCCCTGGCTCGTTCTCCTAGGTCCTGAGGGTTCAAGGACGATGAGAACATCCGAAGCACCCAAGACAGCTGCGTCCAGTGGTTTTTCGACGATCTTGCAGTCTTCTTCGAAAATGACGGCCAACCTCACAAGCACACGCCCGCCCCCCCGTTGGGATCATCGTCTGCGAAGGAGACTCGACGTCCGCGTTCGTCCGAGAGAAATCCTGTCTGGCGAAGCCGATTTCCCATTCCCCCCCCCCCTGCGTCCTGCCGTCATCGGGCCCCGATTTTGGGAATCACCGTACCGTATCCAGCTTAAATGAGACAGTAACTGAGAATCCACTTGTAACATGTCGAAGTGTCCCTGTCGCCGGATGAAAACCCCTTTCCCCGAGCGCTAAGGGCCAAAATGGAGGGCTCAGCCCAGCTCGACGTTGCAAATTCGAGGCGGAGCGCAGGCAGCAATGTAGGCAAGCTGCCAATCAACTCGTGAGGCATTTTTACGATTGGACGTGCCCAAGCGCGGTATTGAGCTTGCTGTGCTAACCCGCAGCAAAACATCAGCCGTGCCTTCGCCGTCTTCCACTTCATTCTCCACCAGGTTCAAGATGCAAAATCTCCGCACGGACGGTGCAGCAAGAGAACCGAGTGTCAACCACGGCGACCGAGGCTGTTTTGGTGACCGTCTCCCCAACTCCAGAACAACTCTAGAACAAATACCAGAGAAGCACATCGAGCGATCATCTTGCCGAGGCGGTACAAGGAGACGTACCGTCACCGATCCCCTTAGGACCCTGGGGAAAGTGCAGATGATCGACCGAATCAGCTAAGCCTGCAGGTTGTGCGACCGGTGGAGCCAAATGTGTCACGTAGGAGTTAAAGACTTGGAGGGGGCCGAAACGGGCTGCGTCCAGGGGCGCAAAAACCGTGAGGATCGAGGATTGGGAGGGTGATCGGGGTGCATTGGGAGAGGCGAGGTGGACTTCGAAAGGGGCTGGTGGAGAGTCCACCGGGGGGGCCTGATGCAGCAGAGAAGGATGCAGGCGGTAAGCGCGTGATGCAGGACGGGTGCACCAAGGCGACGGAGGTGAGAAGGAAAACAGGTTGATGAAAAGAGAGTTGGGAAGGGAAGAGCGTTCTTATAGACGTCAAAAGCGGCGGCGCGCCCAGCTCGCGACCATACCCCAAACGGCAGGACCGCCTAAACCGGAGGCGGATTTCCCGGCAACGACTTTACAATAGAAGTATCCGGTCGACCATTGGTTTCCTTTCGCAAAATGCTATTGGGACTGGTCTGTGCTATCGAGAAGTAGAAAAATGAAAATCGCTGGGAGACCCGGTCCACCCTGACAGCCCTTGAAGACACCACGGTTTTCTGTGGTCGACGCCTTTGATTTCGAATACATTCTCTGATCTTCTCCCGCGTTTGGCTGCCTGCGCTTCCCCAGTTTCGGTAATGGGCAACACCATGTTTTGTGGATCACACTCCCACAGGCAGCGAAGTCACAGGCGACTTGCGTGGTCATGGCAATGAAAATTGAGGGAGATCGAAGGACCATAGAAGGTGGTCGACTCTCTTGAACGACAAAGACATGCACCTTCTCGTGGTGTCTTCCAAGATTCTCTTCCAGCGGGCGTGATCTGGAAAGACTCTGAGATGTCGACCCTCGACGCGTCCGCGTATGGTTTCAACACGCAGCTTTGTGCTCTCCAAACCATTCTCCACCGAATTCCCACCAGATGCCGTTCCCCAAGGCGGTACCTCGACACGCTGGCAAATCGGCCCGTGACTTCACCATGCTTCACCTTGAGTCCGATCTCCGGGACTGGTGGCTGAAGAAGGACAAGGAGTGGCTCACGGTCCTGTCCGAGGCTTTGCAGACGGTGCAAAAGCATTCTCCTATAACGTATCGCATCCGAGTCAGACTGTCTCGCGCGGTGGAGAATACCTCCATGACGGACATCTTCCTGGATATGGATGGAGGAAACTCGGCCAACAATCAGCTGTGGGCATTTGCTGACCCCCAAGCTGAACATCATTCCGACGATGATCTGTTCATGGGTGACTTTTTGACGGATTTAACAGTTTAATCATGTGGTTCTTGAAAGCTGTTTGATTTCAGAATCGCCGGTGACTGAAGTAGTATATGAAGATTCGAGACTAGTATGGTTGTTAGCAGTTAAAGACCTCATGCCTTGTTGATTGTTTGTCGATCTTGGAGAGGAAGGGAATGTTCAAACTTCGCAGGTGGTGGTTAAGTTCTCCTACAACGGGTGTCTAAACTCAGTAGGGGAACTCCCAGCCTGACAACCGTCGTAGACATTCGGAGGATCCTGTCCATTTGTTTCTGCGGACGTTCGTTGTGGTGATGACCTCGAGAGCTGAGTTCGAGAGCTGTCCAACCCTGTTGTCTTCTGCGCCAACATGTCGGTCTCTGCCTCGTCGTTGTCGTCGTTTCAAAATATGCCGCTCAACCTTCGGAACCCCCGCCGACCAACGAGCTTAGACGATTTTGGCAAGACTAAAGCGCTCGCTTAGTCTTGGTGACGCTCCGCTCGTCTCGACCTTGGCGAGCCACGGTCTTGCTTGTTTACATACACCGCCTATATTGCTGCAACTCATTGTTCCCGTTGAGTTTTGTACTCTCTGATTTATCCTTTGACTCATTGCAAGCTGCGTAGCTAGATCGCTCCTTGGAGCCTTTTTATTCTCTTCTTGTTGACTTCCTCGAGATATGAAGGTCTTGTGCGTATAGTTGCCTACCTTGTCTACTACTGCCTGCACTAGCTCTGTGTAACAAGAATAGGGTGTGGAGTGGCAAGGACTGAAGTCTTGTTCTATTCTATCTATGAGGGCAGAGGAGGTATATATAATCCAAATCCTCCTACCAAGAAGCTCTATCTAATTCTATCTGATTATCAAGCACCGGAATGCTTCCATGGCTGATTTGGAATGCATCCATAGTTAATTTGTAAGTCAAGGTTTCATATCACAGCGGGTGTTACAACAGTTGTTACACTCTGCTACTGCCTATCGTTGCCTGTTGCCTAAAATTACTCCTTTTTGTATATACCAATAGCTAGATACCTTCGTTAACAATCAACTCACTCATCACCCTCTTTATGCGCACTGATCGTCCATTACAACCTTTGAGATTCCTTTAGTCTTATTATCTTAGCTTTGCGCGCGATTCAAGCCGTCGCACTATGCCGCACTAATGTTCTCCTTTATACCTACATCCCCTGCTTCGCTACGCCTATCCACCTCTTAATCAACCGCGTTCGCCTTCTATGGAGAAGGACAACTCCCTTAAGTCCTTTGATAGCAACGAGTTCTCAGAGGTTCATTCCATTACCTCTAGCGATTCCGATACCCTGCAGCCTCCACTAAAGACACCAAAGACGTCAAGGACACCAAGGACAACAAGGACAGCAAATCAAAGAAACGACGGTCTAAAGGGCTTCTGGCATGAGGGTAATGAGTTTATAGAGGCAAAGAATCTCGCCAAACCAGTTCACGCAGCAAAGCGGAAAAAGATATCGCCCATTTGGAAGCTTGGTAGAGAGGTGAAACGTGTGAAAGACGAGAAGACCTACTGGCGCTGTAGCATCTGCAAGAAAGCAGGTGTAGCAACTATTTTATCCTGTGGACCAACGTCAGGGCCAATAAGACACCTCGAATCGCACGGATATGGCAAGCACAAGGGACGTCTTGTTTACATACAGAAGCAAAATTGTACAAAGGATACACCTACTCAAGGCTACAGGAGCCAGGCCGAGAGTTCTCGCTTGTTTCTCTTGACGTCTACCGCTGACGAGTTTCGCGCGCTGTTCCTTCAATGGATTATTTGCTGCCACATCGCCATCTCTATGGTAGAGAATCCTCTCTTCCGTAGACTTATCGAATCTATCAATCATTTGTTTATTGCACTTCTACCTTTATCAGCAAATACCGTTCGCCAATGGGTCATTGAAGAGTACAAGCGTCAGAAGACCCAAAAAATCGAGATTTTACGCAAAGCCCGCAGTCGAATAACAATCTCCTTTGACACATGGACATCACCCTTCTCAAAAAAGCACATTTATTCGGTTATTGCCCACTTTGTTAACGAGAATTACGAGAGACAACACCTTCAACTTAGCATGTCGCGTTTGTATGGTGGCCATAACGGTGAAAACCTCGCCCATCATCTCGTTCCTATTTTACGAGATTGGAATATTGCTTCACGGCTTGGGTATATTATAACCGACAACGAACCTGCAAATGGCATTGCCGTCGACTATATCCTTAAAGCCCTTGAGCCAGAGATGTACCAATCAATCGAGACAAAGAGAACTGAACTTCGAAAGCGCTGGATTCGTTGCTTTGCTCACAGTCTCAACCTTATTAGCCAAGTATTTCTATTTGGGCAGAGTCCAGAGGAGTTCACCATGAAGACAGATGGTGCTGAACTCACTGGAGATCTTGAAAGCCTGGATAGGCTATGGCGCACGCGCGGCTTTATCGGCAAACTTTCGAATATCGTCCGTTACATTCGACGAAGTCCAAAGCAGCGAGCTGAGTTTGAGAGTATTCGAATTGACGACGACAGTGGCGATGTTTACTGGATTGCGGTTGAGGAGGTTGAGGATGATGAACAGCTCGAGGTGAGGGAGTTGCGGCTTAAAGCTACATAACAGAGCTAACATACTAAGCTTGTTGCAAACAACAAAACACGGTGGAACTTGACATACGCCATACTCGTGCGCGCTTTCAAGCTGAAGGTACGCTTTCAGGCGTATTGTGAGAACTGGAAGCCACAAAACAAGGACGACGATGATGGCGAGTACAACCTCTGGGAGGACAAATTATCGCCTGAGGAGTGGGATGGTGTTGAAAAGGTCATTGCGGTGCTGTCCCCTTTGAAGAAGATTACGAAACAAGTTGAGCGTCGTGAGAAGAGTTTGCAGGATATTATTCCATACTATGATTGGATTCTTACCCACTTGTACACCGCTTGTCAAGACTTCAAACGCCAGTCTAGGGCTAACAATCAGAATGAGATATCCCAGTGGCTTTACTTATGCGCGGAGGCCGCTTGGAACAAGGCGAATGAGTTGTATGGGAAGATTGACGACCCACCTGCTTATTATACGGCGCGTGTTGTTGATCCTTGGTCCAAATTTGAGTGGTTTGAACAGCGGTGGGGTCCTGACCGTGATAAGCGCGAGTGGCTCCAAGGCATGAAAGAGGTTGTTAACGATCATTGGCGAACATATCGGAGTCGTTACCTACCGCAGGATTCATGCTCAGTATATCAACAAGCCAAGAGACCAAATCTTAGAGACAACGACAGTGACGATGACACCTGCGATTCACTAGGCACTGAGGAATATTTGAGGATCTCACACAACTCCAAACCAGCTCAGAATGTTAATGCGTTTGGAGAATACACCTCCTCCGCTCCTGAACAGCAGTTTGAACTACCTCAGTGGCGGTTAATTGAGCAAAAGAACCCTGATCTTGTTCAGTTTGCTCTTGATCACGTTGCTATTCCTATCTCAATATCTGATTGCGAGCGGTCGTTCAGCAGCGCCAAGTTTGCCCTGAATCCGTTGAGGACAAAGATGAAATCTGACCTCTTTGAAGCGCTTGAGACGCTTCGTGCTTGGTATTTAGAGGATCAATGGCGGAAGCAAAAGGCGAAAACAAGACAGGCAGAAAAAGAAGAGGAACAGATTATTGCAGAGGTCTGGGACGACTAGGTGGATGTAAATATTATTTGTTAGCAGTTGTTAATCTAGTTTATTTTATTAGCAGACCATATTGAGACTTGTTGGACAATAGCATTGAACAAATGCTAGCCAATCGTTTATGACAGACTAGGATATTTTGCAACACTCGCTCAATAGGCTGTATCACCATTGACAGGCAGCAATGGTGACGTACGCTCGCTAGATAGATATATAGATGGGCTCTATCCTACACTCATTAAGCGAGCCAGGGCACTCTTTCAATCCACGAAGTTCAACAAGACTAGTCTAGTTACGTGCACCGCAGCTTGCGCCTCGTTTAGATAGATTCAGTCAATTAATCCTCTTTCGGTCCTACAAAGTGTGATCAATCGAGCTTGTTTGGTGGTTCATAGACTGGATCCAATGGGCGACGGGGGGATTTCATCGGATCCAACGCGTGGATCATGTCAAGTATGATCAATCGAGCTGTCAAACTTGTGGTACAACTTGAGTTGAAGGAGTGCTCTATTCTCTATCAAGTTGAGGTCCTGCCTCGCATGTTTATATAGACAAGGGTTGTTGTTCTCGTTCGGTGTCTCCGTGTTCAGCTTGTAGACGAAATCCTTGTCTAGCTGAACATTCATTGCCACGCTGAAATCGTTGCCACATATAGTCTCACAGTTCAACACGAGCTTGTCAGAGTGGTCCACAGACTGGATCCGATAGTCGAAGGGGGGAATAGATCGAATCCAATCTATGGACCATATCGATATCGAATGAAAGGCTCCCCCCGGAGGGGAGCACATGGTTCCGGAGAATGGTTGATCCGTGTGAGGGTTCGAGGTCAAGGATGCAATCAGTGTATGCTAGCTAGCATCGAGTTCTAGGATGCTGTAGAAAAAATACAACTATCCAATAGTGCTGAACAGTTGCCTACACCCCTTTTCCAAGGAAAAGAGGTTCATTGCTATGCAGGAGTAAGGGGCTTACTACTATGCAGAAGATAGGGGAGAAGAATAGGGGCAACCAAACGTGTATATATTTCAGTATGTTGGTAGAACAAGTTGTACAAGAATAATAATAAGAAAAAAACAAACTCATAACTTCAGATGCTAGCTAGAATACATTGATTGTATCCTTGACCCCGAACCCTCACAGTTGGGCGGTCCATAGACTGGATCCGATGGGCGACGAGGGGGGATTTCATCGGATCCAGTCCATGGATCATGTCGATGTCGGGTAGGAACCCCCCACCCCCTTGTCACGGGACCACATGCCAAGGATTACGTAATCAGGGGTTCTTCAGTACTTCGATGCTAGCTGGAATACATTGACTGTATCCTTGACCGCGAACCCTCACACCCCCCCGGGGTACATGGTCCACAGACTGGATCCGATAGAAGCTGTCACGGAAAATATTTAATCCGATGGCGTGCGGACCGGAAAATTGTTAATCCGTTAAGGGTGGACTGGGAAATGTTTAATCCGGCGCATGAGACGAGACGAGCGCTTGGCAAGAGGCTCACTACTAACAAGACGAGACGAGCCCGAGCTCGGCTCGTTGAGAAGCCTGGTCAGTACGGCAAGTATTCTCGGTTGCTACAAGATTCTCGTCGCCATACGCTGCCTTTGTAACTGGGCGGCCACGGCATTCAAAGACTGGTCTATTGAAAACATTCTCGCGCCAGAATGATTGAAGTGTATATAGAAGTTGCGACAAATGTTGCGATCCCCCAATCTATCAGGGCAACCCCTGCCAAGACACTAGATACCCGGCGAGACACAGGCTTATATCCTGCTCATCTCACCGCATCATCACTTGATTCCTCAAGCGATCGAGTTGATATCATATAAGACTGTCAATTCCATCAATTCCCTATTGAATCACGCTTGGCCTTCTGCTCCTTGGCATTCCTTGATACCATCCGTACAGGTCACGTATCGAGTGCCGGCGTATAGAAAAAGATAAAACGGAAGAATTGAATTTTTCTTTTTTGCGCCTACGATAATGGGGACCAATACACTGTGGGAATACGAGACTAGATAAGTATATGTTGTATATCCAGACTGTACTTATGCCTGCTATACCCCTGTATTGCAGCCTGCTGTAGCCTTTCCTACACCCGGAGCATCTGAGAGGGGGCAAGCCATCAACTTTCAGGAGATCGTATCCCAATGCTGGACCGTCGACACCTCAAAATTCGTTAAACAGAAAATGCTTGCTGGGGTGGCGTGATCGGCTCATATGAAAGACCACGATTGCTGTAGTCCTCGAAATGAGAGGAGACAAAAGAAGGAGCAGGAGAATACCTCGAAATGAGATGAGACAAAAGAAGAAGCAGGAGAATACTCTATGTACGCCGGCATGGAGATGTACCGCATGTGAGCTCTATCGTAGCCTCCCATTTGAGAGAAATCCTGCTGGCCGCCCATATCGGAGGACATGGCATTGCGCATCGAACCGGGTATGGAGGTGTTGACGTACATCCCCTGATTCTGTGGTTCTGTAGTGCGTGGCATTGTCTGAGGCAGCATGTTTGGAGGAGGCATCGAGTCAGCTGCACGCATGACAGGAGATGTGGATTGCGAGTAGTTCGCATTGGCGTTAGCGTTCGCTATTGCGGATGACGAGGAGCTCGCCTGTTGAGCCTTAGTCAATTGCTCGAACAAAGACTGCGAAGAGTCAAATTTGAATGACAAAGCGGGCTCAGCAACAGCTTTAGTGGTAGCTTCCTGGCCCATCTTCTCACGCTTCAGGTCTCGCTCGAGCGCGTCGAGGAAGAGGCGGTCGTGAGGGACACTATACCAGTAGAAGACCTTCTGCTTTCCTTGTGCGCGAACGCAGTTGTTCTTGTACAGGAAGTCGAGGAAGGGGCTCTTTGGCTCTTCCAATGACGCATCTGTTCCAGATTTCAGATTTCTTAGATCTGAGAAGATGCCTTCTTCGAATTTCTTAGGCTTCTTGACGGGCCTGCCAAAGGCTTGGAAGCGGAAGGATAGACATCGCACAATGTCTACACCGGAGATGTGAAAGAGGTTGTTCCATAGCACACAGGAGACGTACTCGCCTGTAGGCAGGAGAAATCGTCTGATGAGGGATTCTGGAGGCCAGTCCACTGGGGCGGAAATGAGGAAGTGTTTAAGGTTGTCTACCTGCTGCAGGGCGACTTGCGCATCCTGCGGCAAGCTTTGTTGTGCTTCATCCGACAACATAAAAGTTTCTGGCTTTTGTGGTTGTGCCATTGGAGCGCCGCTCGAGGGGGACATCGTAGGTGGGGATTGACCTTGGGCGCGACGGTTTGGGGGGTGGGGATGTCGTTCCTATGTGTCCCTTTGATATCTCATGCAAGGTCTTCAAGGTCTGGGCGTCGATTTACATGTGACGGTAGTTGGCTTCTAGCCTGGGATGAGTGTAGGAAGGTAATGATACTGAGGTTTGGAGTTTGTCCACTCAACAATTGACGAATGTTGTCTATGATGTAAACAGGGCACTATGAGAAGCCGGCCTTGCAACGTTGCCAGACGTGAAGCTCCTATCTCGAAAGAAGTGAGCAGGTGAAACGAGGGTGGATAAGGAGAGGACTGGGCTCTCCTGCAGCGCAGAAAAGATCCTCGAGGTCTCTGCCGAGGAGCAACTATTTGATGTATCGAAGAGAACGATAGCATGGGGAAGCAGCGGAGGAGAGGCAAGAGAGCACTTGCACTACTAAATGGAAAATAGAAAATAAATGTGATGGCGTGCAGCGGCGAAGAGCACGGTGAAATAGAGGGGGAAAGGGAAGAAGAAGAGCTGCTTAGGAAAGGTGAGACTGCTTAGCCTGGGAGACGGACATTAGCTTTACTACTTTCTGAAAGGGTACTAGTGACTACGTCTCTTGAGGAATAGAGGCCGAAGAAGACCATGGAGGCGAGGCATACCGGTCAACAATCCCGGTATACTAGGCCTGAGGTGCCCCTCGAAAAGCATGCCCACTCTGGGGAGTCTGCCAGTGCCCACTCTGGTTCAACCTGGAACGGGTGTTACAGATCCACAGATAGCACTGTCATCTCCATCGCGGCGAGTCGCCCAGAGGAGGCGGGGAAGGTCGAATAGCAGACTAGAAAATGTTCGAAGTGTGGCAGCCATGCTGAAACGAGTGACTGTCAACAGCTGTGGACACGAAGGACTGCCAACGAATGGAGGGGGCGACAATCGGTTGTGTGCACTGCGGGGGAAGGCGGGGACAGCCCAAGCCCAGCTGTAGCAACAAATTGGAAACACCTTTCAAACAGATGCCCAGATGTCAGAGATGTGGGCAAGGATTTTAGTCCAAGGGAAAACGCGAAAATGCCCTTGTCGACCAAGCCCTAGCCTGCATAAGCGTTGGTCACCGCTTTTGCGCGTAAATTTTTGGACCTGCATTGGTACCTGCAGCTGCGATGATCACCTTTTCGACTTGCCCCTCGCAATGGCCGGCAGCTCGGAGACCACTGTCACTGATCTATGGAGATGCTGAGAGTGATGCAGGCCGCTTATTACGAGTACTATTATGCGCTCTTACTAGTAGCCACGAACAAACGAAAGTTTTTGTTAACGGGAGACGGCCTCCCTTCTGTACGTTCGTAGAAGATTAGACGGAACTCCTGCGTCGGCCCGGAGCCACATCTTGCCCACAAACTGGTACTCCGGGCCGTAGGATGTCTCCCACTGCGCTTCAACGTGGGGATCATGCTAGAATCGGGAACCCGAATAAGGGGCGCCGGAATTGGAGTGGAAGGGTATCTACCGGATAGGTTTCCTAATTGATTTCTAACCTCTCGCGCTGGTTGCAGTGCAAGCCTCCGCTTCCAGCATTCTTTTACGGTGTATATGATTACGAACGAGGTCGTGCCTTGATTTAGAATAGACTTCTGAATACTACTTAATATCAATGGATATTTCGGATTTCTGGCCAGGCTTTTGGTGTCGGGTGCCTTGCGTGGCCACGATTTTGGACTGCCCCTATGCTGAGGAACAGTCATGAGCTGCCAAAGTTGGTATGGGAGCCATGCAACGGGGCAGCTCCGTGGAAGAGTAGCGAGGGAATGTGTCACGGAGTTTGATAGCACGGTCAGACTTGAGGCCGGAGGGTGGAGTAGGAGAGAGGAGCAGGGAGGAGTAGGGACCGAAGGATATACGAAAAGCTGTCCATTTACGGCGGGTGGACCATAGACTACGCAGGAAGTGCTGAACATGTAATCCTTGGCACGTGGTCCTGTGACACGGAGGGGGATATCGTACGCGCACAGGACACAGTGATCAACATCGTCTACATATGATCCATGGATTGGATCCGATCAAAGGGTTCTGGCAGACAAAGGTGGCTGTGAGGGTTCGAGGTCAAGGATTTGTTGGACAATTGTAACAACAGTACTAATGGGGGTGTGAAGAGAGGGATCATAAATCGTTGCGAGCGTACAAGGTAGGGTGTGGAATGGCAATGTACTGAAACCTGTCTGTCTATCTAAGGGTTCGAATTCTCTTCTTATACCTTCGATCCGTTCATCTTCCTGCCTCCTTTCTAACGCCCATCCCCCTTCCTGCCACCTTTGCAGTGGCTGGGAATTCGTGGCGTGATGGGTGTTACACTATCCTCCTCAGGATCTAGTGGAAGCGCATTGAAACCCCTTTTTTACGACATTAAACGCCACTCTTCTCCTGCACGATAGCTATTCGCCAGCATATTCCCATATGCTGTTAAAGCCCCTATTATACAACCATCAGACTTCGTTTGCTAGAAAGAATTCCAACGTCTTGTAATCTCCTGTACGGGTTGAGCAAAGACTTGGAGTTGCTACCTACACGACTACTGAGGTCCTGAGAAGATGGAGACGGCTATAAAACATCCTAGGACTGGCAGACTGTCATCATCGACTGATAAGCCGCGGCCAGTGTCCCGGGCCAGGGTGAAGGATATTGTTACTCATGGTCCCACCTGGAGATTGATTATGAGGATGTGAGATACTCGACAATTGTTTCGACGGCGTCATTGCATCGGGCTGTCGGAATGGGTTGGTGGCCAGGAACCGTGCAGAGCCTGCGGATCTAGGTTGCGCATTGGGTTGGGCCAACCCGGCCCTAAACCCGGCCCATCAGGTTTCGGGTAGGATTGGGCATCTGAATTCAAAACCCGGTATAGTAAGCCTTATTTCCAAAAACCCTATAGGGTTAATCAGTAGTGTAAGGACCTTCGAAAACCCAGTCCAGCACGACCCGCTGCTCGGCCTAGTCGAATCTGTAAAAAGGTTCCTGTCCAGGAACGCATCAATACGCGAGGTACGCCTCCACGGGACTTCGTGATGAAAGATTTGCTGGTTGGAACCTACAGCCTTGTTGCTTGTCCCGAGCCTCTGGACCGGCGACAGAGATTGCGAGGACTTTGATATGTACAGGAATTGTTCTTGTATTGTAGCGGAGCGCTACGTGCGTAGATTATGTAAGGGGCAAGCAAACATGGGTGGGTAGAAAGATGGTGAGAGCATTGAACTTTTCTTGTATGGTAGAGCTTTGTGCGTAGTTGCTCAACGACTTTGGCGACGACACCCTCCTGCATGACAGGCACTCAAGTGCTAAACCGTTCATCATCTTTACAGTATGTCCATGTAATGAGACGGAGTGGGTGGTTCGAACGTGCTGAATTGGCTCGTGAAGAGGAAGCTCTAGTCTGACGTGACTTGAGAGGTTGTAGAGGAGAGAATTTTGTGAGAGTCTATTCTGGTTCACACATTTACTACGGCGTCCCTATATGATGATCTGCGATTCTGTGAGGATTCGAGGTCAAGGATACGATCGATGTATTCCAGCTAGCATCGAGTTCTAGATACAAGACGTAGCACCAAGAGAGTCAAGATGGGATGCTACGCAGGAAGTGCTGAAGAACCCCTGAATACGTAGTCCTAGGCACGTGGTCCCGTGACACGAGCCTCGATGTCGACATGGTCGTGGATTGGATCCGATGGGTCGTGGTATTTCATCGGATCCAATCTGTGGACCATGTGCCCACCGGCCCCCCGGGGGGGGGCATTCCACACGACGTGGTTCATGGATTGGATCTGATGAAATCCTCCGTCGCCCCATCGGATCCAGTCTATGGACCACCTAAACAAGCTCGATTGAATCCTCGACATGATCCACGGATTGGATCCGATGAGACCAAGATCTCCAAGATATTGGCCTTGGGGCTTGTGAGAACCCCAGGAAAGCGGCGTATACGCCACTTCCCTACTATAAACAGGGACTTTAAAAAAAGAAGAGTCAGGGTATTGTCTCCGTTGCTGGAAGATGGACAGGGGTTGGTAGTTCCTGCAACCCGCTTTCTTACTGCATCTCATCCTTCTGATCACCCACCAAAACCGATGATTGATACAGTTTATTCAAAAAAACAATACTCTTTATCCCCTTTAAAAGAAAAGAAAAGAAGCGCCACCTTTCTCTTCAACCACTCCCAACAGCAAAGGCGCCCGCGAGTCCAGCACCAGGACCCTTTCCGATGCCGGCGAATCCGCTCCCAAACGGCCGCCTTAGCCTCCTCCTCTGCGTCATCAACCGATCATCCAGCACGAGAGCATAAACGACAAACAGCAACGGATCAATCCTGGCCACATCGATACTCAGAGAGAACTCAGGCTTCTCGTCTCTTCCGACCTGCTCGATCTGCCCGACACGCCGGCTACGGTGCAGAACCTCAACAACTCTATTCCGGCCTTTCAATTCCGTCGTCGAATTGAAATGCAGCGCATCCAACTCCCCATCCATCTTCCCCCGGAAAACAAGCCTAGTCGACGAACCCGGCGCGACGATCTTCCCTGTGGTCTCGATCTCGAGGAGCTTGACCCCGTCCTTCCCCGGTCCGTGGGCGGTGTACCGCCATAGGTCGCCCTCGACTTTTCGTTTGATGGTGTGGTTCATCCCATTGGGCCGGAGGTCTTTGATATCCGTGTAATGGTAAATTAGTGTCGAGTTGGTCTCGATCTGGAGGAGTACAAGGGCGTCTTTGCCCATGCTGACTTGGAAGTCCGGTGAGCGGTATTCTCCTTTCATGCAGACTGTCACAGGGTTCTCGCTGCCAAACTCGTTGGTGTAGGAGAGACCACCTTGGACGGACTCGCCATATGAGGGCGGCAGGTCCTTAGCTTTAGTGCTCATCTTTCGGCCAGTAGGAAGGGGGTTTTGTGCATATAGGGGAAGAGAGAAAAAGAGAAAGAGGGGTCGAGTGTCTTATTTCAATGGAGTTTCTCCGGCGATGAAAATAATCATGTGTGCAGATGAACAGATCGCCCGGAGTATGACCTGTGGCGCGGTTGTGGATAGCATCGGAGGATCCGCCGCCTGCCGCCAAGAAGAGGCTAGGCGATCGTCTGGGCGAGCTTCACAGCTTTGATAGTCTAACCCCCAAATTAAAGCTTTCTGTTCTCGTATTGAGGGCTCTGCCATCTTGCAGGAGGACCTGCTATCTAGCATTTCTATATACTTCTCCAATGAGTCATCGATATTGCGATGGGGTGTAAACGTTGGGCATGTGGCTGTGTCAAACTGGGTACAACCTGAGATGTATTGAACGCTCTGTCTACTTCACAACCGGTCCTGCCAGGTTGCTGGTATATATACACGTTGAGTTGACCCCTTTCCCTCTCCTATTCTTACCCCTATATCCTACATAGGAGTGATGACCCCTTTTTCCCAATAAAGGGGCACTTGCTACTATTCAACCGTTCAATTGAAACCTTGTTCGACAATATCTATCTAACCAGTGTACGTCATCGTTGTTACGTGTTAATGGTGATACAGCCTAGTGAGCCAATGTTGCAAAATAACCTGGTCTGTCGTGAACGATAGGTTACTATTTATTTAATACTACTGTTCCACTATTTAATAAAAACTAATCAAAACTCTCCGCGCTCCCAACTCTCTACCCACCCACCCATGTCTGTTTTCTCCTTACATAATCTATGCACGTAGCACCTCGCTATGATATCCTAACTCTGTGTCCCTTCTGCGACAGGTCGTACAACAAGCTCATGTGGGCGCGGTGATCATCACATGTGGTCTTCGACAGGTATGGGACAAGTTTCTCGAGAGAGAGGTTTGTCCCAGTCGGTGAAGGTAACTGGTGTAGGACATATTATAGACGGTTTCGGCGTCACGGCCGTCGTGAAAGCGGACTTGGTCGTTCGTTTGCGGGATATATACTGTCTAAAGATGCGCGCATTCGGAGACAGTGTGTTAACAGAACTATGAGGAAATCCAGGACCTCATCTTCGGAGCAGACATTCAGATATGATGTGATCAAAAGAACAATCGCTACAGGCCAGGGAAGTATCTATTACATCGGTCAGGTTTGATCAAGAACAATTTGAAAGTCTTTGCTAGAATGACCTTTATAGGATGCAGTTGGCATCGTGATCGAGAGAATTGACAAGGGCTCTATTTGGAGGGGAAGAGCTTATCGCAAGATACTTCGACATAGTCTATGGCCATTCTCATCGAACTCGATCTTTTCCCCGGTTATCAAACTATCCTGAAGTGCCAGTGCGATCCTCACAGCATTCACGGCACCATCCAGCTTCAAAGGGGGGGCTTTGTTGTCCAGGCAACTAGCGGTGAACTCGTTGGCTTCTGCAATAAATGCGTCACGGAAACGGCCGTAGTAGTCGGAAAAGAGCTCTCTTCGGATACCAGTGGCTTCGTGAATGTTGACGAGATTCGATATTGGTTGGGTGTTGATAGATAGCTTACCCTCCGAACCTATAATTTCAGTGCAGTCTTCCTGACCAGCAGTCATCATGCGACTGCAGAAAATTTGAGCAATCTTCCCTCCATAAAATTCGATAATCCCAAAGGCGTTATCCCTGTCATTATACTCCCTCAGCTTCGGCCATACCGCGGTAATACCAACAGCTACAACACTCTTAACCCTAATGCCTTCACCAAAAAACCAGAGCGCAAGATCGATATCATGTATCGAACAGTCCACAAAGATTCCACCAGAGTACTTAGCATATTCTACGAAGGAGATGGTTGCATCCATCTTATCGCAAGTCTGCGACCGGAAGACGGTCGGTTCTCCGATCATGCCTGATTGCAATTTTTCGAAAGCGTCGCGGTATGAAGCGTCGAAGCGTCTTGAAAAGCCACAGATGACCTTTTGTGATGGTTGCTTCTCAAGGGATTTCTTGTATGCGGTAACGACCGATTCCGAGGCCTCTACACTGGTGCTCAACGGCTTTTCGCAGAGAACATGAAGACCAATATTGATTGCCTTGATCGCTTGTTCAGCATGAACGGTAGTTGCAGACGCAACAATGACGGCTTGAAGGCCATTCTTGGTCTCTTCTTGAAGCATTTCGTCGTAATCAGTGTACATTCTAACTCCAGGAATGGCAGTCTGTGCCCAGGCAATTTCTCTAGGGTCTGGAGTTGAAGCTGCAATCAGATCGGCTCGTGGGGTCAATCCATAAAAATGCATGGCATGTCGAGCTCCCATGCGGCCGAGGCCAGCGATGGCAACCTTGAGCTTTGGTACTGAGCCGTTAACATCTAACCGAGTCATGACCACGCCGGTCTATATAGTGGATAGTAGAATGATTGGGGAGTGAATATCTAAACTTTGTCGATGCCGGGACCTTCCCTATAAGCGAACAGAATTAAAACGGAAAACTCGAAACGTTGCCCAAGAGGGACTGCTTCGACACCACGTCAGAGATATTTATCCGCTACATCCCACGAAGACTCCGTTGGGGAAGTAGATATTTCGGCAAGTGTTTGGGCCCACCCATAACTCACATAATTCGCCCAAAACCGACTTTTCTAGCAACGGTAGCGAGAATACTCTGCCAATCACGGAAGAAAAGGAGCAATTCGAGCTTCTCACTGACGCACGATGACTATATCCATAGTCGCCAAGGGAATGAATGCGATCAAGGAGGAATTGGTGAAGTCCATACTGTTTTATGTTGACACTGACGACTCGAAGTGTAAATGGGTTGATCGCTCTCAATGATACATCTATGTAAGACAGGGCACCTGGGATGTCGGACCTCTGCCTGATGATCAAATAGTGTACCAAAGGCTGATTTTACGATCGCTTTAACAATTAACGCTCCAAATGCAACGCTTGAACTCGAAATCTTATTGCTTTACGCGCATCCTCTCGTTTCCCCTTATATAACTGCTCGACGTTGTCGTCTACGAGCCGCTCTAGTGCTGCTCCTGCAAAATCTCGTACTATTGTGATGTTGTGCTGTGTTTTAGACATGGTGAGTGCAAGAAACTATAGCATATCACCCATGTAATTCCACCAATATATCGATAGTAAATACAGCCGTATCTCGAAGAAGAATTCTCTCAATAGACAAGCGGCTTTTATTCACCTAGCATGATGCTTGATCCGTCGACCATCACTTGTTACCTTTAGATGAATCACTCCTAGATATAGACAGCAATAGAGAATGCCAAAGCCACTTGAATTCTTCAGCACAATCAATTCCTGAGCGACGCCGATGTGAGTGGTGCAGGGGCACGCGATATTGGACATAGACGTTCACTGTCTCGACAACATCTCGGCTCCAGGGCTGATCTTGACGTCTATCATTTCCACCCGTGGTGCGCAACCCTACCACCTTGGACTCTTTGCAATGGCCCAGCCTTCTGAATAGTCTTCAGCCAAGGCTTCTACCAGTACAGTGACCACGGCAGCCTTCGCTCGAAGCTCGTATCCGTATACGCCGGAATAGCCTAAATGCACAAGGGCCAACTCCGGCAGTCACGCCGTGCGATACAATTCTGGGCTGCAAAATATTAGCCTGAAACTACTCAACGCACCCGGGATTCATAGACATAGCCGAAATCTCCAATCAAATGTCTAGGTCACCTTATAGTAGTCCAAGCCTGCAAACGGCGGGGATCAAACTTGTGACACCCGAGATCTACCGAATCGCCTGGGCGATTTCGCTCTAGGTATAGGTGACAAGCGGTGTCTTTTCAAAAGTGGAGACGAGCGGGGTGTCATTCTTTACAACGTCGTCTGCGTCGTCTGACAAAAATACAGATGACCGGGGGGGTGATACGGTTGTGTAGCTCCGTACCCGAAATGGAGGTGAAAACGTACTAATAAGCCTTAGGTCAGGTTAGTCTGTTGCACCTTGATCTTTCATAGATTCTCTCTGGATGCTTAAACCCCCTCGGCTAATAGTGAACGATGAGCGTGTCCATAAAACATATGAGGGCCTATCTCAGGCCGAGCACCATGCACGTAGCATTTTACCTGTGATCATCTTAACGATTTGACATGGCGGAGACAACGGAGAAGCACGGAATCTACATCAATGAGAAAGACCTCAACGGGGAGTGTTCAACACCGCAGCCCGACGAGCCCCATGTAAATGAATCGACAACTACCACGGGCAATACAACGCAAATACCCCTGCCAGGAGAACTAGCCAACCAACGGGAGCAGAAGTCGCCTGCCTTCGGCCCCTATTTTCGGGTCTTGCGCTATGCTACAGCTCTTGATCATATCCTTAGATGCTATGGGCTTTTCGCAGCAGCAGCATTTGGAGCTGCCGTGCCACTGATGACTGTTGTCCTAGGTAACACGGTGGATGATCTCAATAGCTGGGGCAGTGGTGAGAGAGACATAACCGCCTTAGCGAACAGAACTTCTAAGAATGCATTGTGGTTGACATACCTGTTTATCGGCTGCTTCTTCTCCTCATGCACAAGCGTCCTATGCTTCAAGATCACCGCCATCCGCTCTAGCTCAGCACTGCGGGAGGACTTCATTCAAGCACTTCTCTCACAAGACATCAATTTTCTTGACTCGTTCTCATCAGGAAAAGTTAGCACCTTGATATCAAATAACGCGGACTTGGTGGAAAGCGGCTTGGGAGAACGTGTCGCAGTCTTCGTTTCAGGTTGTTCGATGCTTGTAGCCGCATTCGTGGTTGCATTTACACAATCTTGGAGGCTCACCTTGGTCGTTGCCATCTGTATTCCCCTGTCGACTATCGGGGCGGGTATTGTTGTGGTAGCAGATACGAAGATGAGCGCCAAAGTGCTAGAGATATACGCAAGAGCTGGTGGCCTTGCAGAGGAGGCTTTGTCCACGATACAGGTTATCGCTGCTTTTGGAGCAAGTACTAAGCTTCAGACAAAGTACGACAGGTATCTGGAGGAAGCAAAAGCACTGAGCATCAAACAGGGGCCACTGCGAGCGCTGCAGTACGGCATCTTTTTTGCGACAACTTACCTATCCTATGCTTTCGCATGGCTTTACGGAACTCACCTGTTGGTTAGTGGAACCATTTCTAGCGGAGGCAAAGTAATCGTGTAAGCAGTTCTCGGATCAACCATGGCGTTTGAAATTTTAATTCTTATCTCAGGGTGTTGAACGCACTTCTGCTTTCTTCAGCTTCTCTGAACAACATCGCCCCCTCTCTCACCGATCTATCGAAGGCCTCCGCCGCTGCTAAAGGGCTCTTTGACGTTGTCGACCGAAAATCGACTGTTGACTCCCTTTCCGAGATGGGAAGGAAGCCAGATACGGTGGCTGGACATCTATCACTGCACAACGTGTCGTTCGCTTATCCCTCTCGACCATCCGTTAAAGTTCTTGATAATGTAAGCATAGAGTTTGAAGCCGGCAGGACCACAGCGATAGTTGGCCCATCGGGGAGTGGTGAGTGTATCTACCAATGTTTTGAAATTAACATCTCCCAAGGACGCTGGCAAGAGGCTGACACAGTGTGAAAAGGAAAGAGCACTGTTCTTGCATTGATTACTAGGTGGTTCGACCCTGAGTTAGGTTCCATCTCCCTGGATGGAATAGACACCCAAAATATCAATCTCCAATGGCTTCGCGGTCAAATGGGGGTTGTGCAGCAGGAACCAATCCTATTCAGTGACACCATATACAATAATGTATCTTACGGACTAGAACGTCAAGCAAGAATCATTGGTAACGCTAGTAACGAAGAGCGGTCTCAGATGATTCATGAGGCATGCCGCCAGTCGTTTGCTGATCAATTCATACGGAAGCTTCCGGATGGCTACGAGACCACCGTGGGGAATCGAGGGGATACTCTCAGTGGTGGCCAGAAGCAACGAATCGCAATCGCTCGCAGCATAACCTCCAATCCTCCCATCCTCCTACTTGATGAAGCAACTTCTGCCCTTGATCCCGAAGCAGAGAAGACGGTTCAGAGTGCTCTTGAGAACGCATCAAAATGTCGCACAACAATAGTCATTGCGCACAAGCTGTCGACCGTCCAAAATGCTGACAAAATTGTGGTTATGAGCGATGGCAAGGTAGTGGAGCAGGGTACGCATAAGGAGTTGCTCGCAAAAAATGGGACATATGCAGCCCTTGTGAATGCCCAAACACATGACGGCCAACAGCACACTGGTCACATAGCCCGTCGTCCAACGAGTGTGACAGAAGAGAATGAGCAAATATCCCGCGAAGCTGACTATGAGGATAAGCCCAGTCGTCCAGAGGAAGGCTCCTGGAGATCGACCACAAGGCTATCAATGGTCGTCTGCCTGAAGAGAATTCTAAAACATCAGAAACGCCTTTGGCCATACTACATCGCAACACTACTCTCTTCCGCTCTCGGGGGAGCCCTGTTTCCTTCCTTGGCCGTGGTATTCAGCAAAGCGGTGACCATCTTTCAGCTCTCGGTACAAGAGCGAGGCCCCGAACTCCGAAGCCGCGGCTACTTCTGGGGCTGTATGTTCATCGTTATTGCAGTCGGCTTACTCTTAGCCTCCGCTGGCTTGGGACATTTCTCAACAGTTGCGGCATGCCACCTGACAAAGGCCTATAGGAGCGAATACTTTGGCGCAATGTTGAATCAAGATGCTTCCTTCTTTGAGAAGGAGGACAACGCTGCTGGTTCAATGGTCAGCCGGTTATCTACGAATCCTCAACGTATTCAAGATCTGATCTCCATTAATCTCGGGTTTATTCTCATGTCTATCGTTAACGTTTTAGGATCGTGCGTGCTCGCGTTGGCAGTCGGCTGGAGGCTTGCACTCGTTACTATTTTCGGATGCTACGTACCCTTGCTCTTCGCCGGATTTGCGCGCATCAGGATTGATGCAATCAGCCAGCATCAAACAGCAAAGGCATATCGTGAATGCGCAAGGTTTGCTGGTGAAGTTATTGCTGCAACTAGGACGGTTTCAAGTTTAACACTCGAAAGGAGGATCATTGGGATATACAAAGACAAGCTTTCGGTGGCATCGAGAAAATTGACCAGCCAAAATGTCTTAAGCTCTGTCTTTGTCGGCTTAACAGACAGCATTATTTTTGCAGCAATGGCGTTAGTGTTCTGGTATGGTATGAAGCTTTTGACCAGGGATGAGTACTCCGTGGAGACATTCTTCGTCGTGTTCATTGCGTTGATCTTTGGGGGACAAGCGGCAGGCTTCATGTTCGGCGTTACTCTGCGTAAGCATCTTATCATCCCCAACAAATTCGCTATTAATGGCAGTCCAGATACCACAAAAGCCCACGCTGCTGCCGACGACATTTTCTCCCTTCTGGACTCACACGCGCCTATCCAATCATCGACAGGCATCGACCCTCCTCGAAACCCGTCCAACATAACAGCAATCGATTTCAAGGCTGTAACATTCTACTATCCCACACGGCCGGCTTCTCCAGCCTTGCGTTCTCTCTACCTATCCATTCCTCGCGGCTCGCACGTTGGCATCGTCGGGGCCTCCGGTAGTGGCAAGTCCACCATCATATCACTAATTGAGCGTTTCTATGATCCCTCATCAGGCTCCATCCTGATCGACGGACTTCTGCTGACAAGTCTTTCCGTGGCGGCACATCGTAATAGAATCGGCTATGTTTCTCAAAACACCACGCTTTACGACGGTTCGATACAGGAGAATGTCATGCTCGGTATTGCCCCCAGCAGTGATATTCATGTGGACGAACGGAGGGTTGTGGAAGCGTGCAAGTCAGCTAATATACATGATTTTATCGTCTCGCTCCCAGATGGGTACAATACTGAAGTTGGAGCCCGCGGTATCGCTCTGTCGGGGGGTCAGCGACAGCGCCTAGCCATCGCTCGCGCTCTTATTCGTGATCCCGAGATACTGCTCTTTGATGAAGCAACGAGTGCGCTGGATTCGGCGAGTGAGAGGGTGGTCCAGCAAGCAATTGAGATGGCAGTTAGGTCATACCAAGCCGGGAACTCCGCGGGTGGCCAGGCCGATGAGGGAGTAGGGTCAAAGATGGGCCATCGGACCACGGTGGTGGTCGCTCATCGTCTGTCAACAGTAAGAAATTGTGACAGGATTTTCTTGTTGCACGAGGGTGAGGTCAAGGAAGAAGGGAGTCATGCGGAGCTAATGCAAAGGCAAGGTAGATATTATGAGATGGTTATGGCACAGGGTCTACACCTTGAGGTGAAGGTGGAGGGTAGCCCTGACCGCATGTTTCGAGCATGAATATCTTATTGATTGCGGAAATCAGGAACCCTCATGAATGATGAGTTGGTGCATTCGGTCAATTACGCTATAGAGATAGAAAATTTCCACCTTTAACACAGAGAATTTTTGGATGTGCAGCGGCTGGGCCGTACTATATAGTGACAACATTTACCTACTATCAGCAACGATTTTCGATTCTGACCTAGGTAAGCTCAGTCCACTAAGCGTAGTATATTTCTTCACCCTTATATGTAAAACATAATAAATTTTCAAAGAAAGCGAAATGGTGCTTAGCAAAGCATAAAGTGGAGCAAAACAATCAAGGGACCATAATGACTATTCCATGTGTCGAAAAGTGTCTCCAGACTACCCTTCTTTCGCGTCCGTCGTCAGAATCTGCTGTACCATTTCTGCTGCCCTATGTAAGTCAGCAATAAATCTCTCCGTCTCGCCAACCTCTCCAAGGCCAGAGAACTTCACACTAGGCGAAATATCAGTAGACGCTAGTATTTCCACGGAGAAGAGCAGCATACCTCTCGGAGTCAACCTCAAAATGTAACCAAATCGAATCATCGTCGCGTTGGACACACCCATTTTCAGCCATATGCGTCCTGAAGCAACTGCTCATAATCTTCCTCGGGCGAGAGCGAACATAGGGGGGATCTTTGTACAATTCTGGATCCTCCTCACCATCCTTGCTTATCTCTCTGAGAAGTGATAGGAAACGATCGGAGCCACCGGATCGAGTAGCTGCTAGTATATTGCCCGAGTGTCTTCGGGCTGCTTCGATCAACTTTCGCCGGCACACTGATAAAGGTGCCGTCTCGTCTGCCGCGGTTTTGACGAACTCGGCGACTTCCATGGAAATCACTTGATTGATCTCAACTCGACCCTTGTGGAAGATTGTTTGCAGGACAGTTTCCCAGCATGCGGGTATATATCCAAAGAAGTACCGAGCAGCAAGTTGAACGATGAGTTGAAAGCCACTATTGGGGGGAACCTTGTGTTCTCTCATGAAGGACGACCCGAAATTTAGCGAGGTAAAGAAGTGTTGTCGTTTAGCAATGGTCTTCTGATAACTAGCTCTCGCGCGCGGAACATTGGATTGATATCCGCCGAAGTTCGTGTGTACAACTCGTTCGAACGGGATACCTTGGTGAGACCTCTTTGTCAAGCTCGGGTCATATTCACGAATTGCGGCTGCGATAGCGAGGTTGATATCCTGTACTGTTGGAGCATCTAGCCCGGTGTGATCGGCCAGAATACCCGAGATGCCGTTTGAACATATTACATACTCAATGCTCTTGTCGAACCACCTATTTGACCCGTCGCCAAAGTGCACCTGGCGCGCTCGCTGTTCTGCATTCTCTGGAGAGCTTTCGTCCAGGCAGATGATAAATGCGGATTGCTGGATGGTTCGAACATATTCAGCATTCTGGGGACTGTCCTCGACAAAATCTCGGTAGTTCTTAGCCCACAAGGTTCGGTGCTCACCCGACAAGATCCCCAGCCAGTCAACCTCCTTTAAGTCTGTGTTCAAAATTTCTGTGAAGCTGGTCCTGAGTAGATCGAACAAGTTGTCATCAAGTACTTGGCGGAATTCAATTTTGAACGCATGCCCTCTTCGCAAAATTATGAAGAAATCATTGCCCGGGTGGGCTTCAAAAACGTCCAGACCATCCCTGGGCTCGCGACATGCACTGAACAGGTTCTTGTGCAGGTCCATACACAACTGCTGCTCGTTCATGTATTGCGGCTTGATCAGCCCTTTCTCTAGATCTCCTTTGTATCGGATCAGGGTCGATGCAATTAGAGCAGCCCGCTCCGCCTGTGAATGCTTCACCGGACCTAGTGGATGAGTGAAGAAGAACAGCGCATAGGGGGCGAGTGGACCTTTGCGGGAGAGATATTGGTTATTGAGAAATAGGTCATGGTACCAATTCTCTGGATCAGCTGCTTTCATAGCCCGAAGCCGCTCATATAGGCGAACACCTGGACCGCCTTCCGCACAGAAATCTTGTGCTAGGCGCAACGTGTTGCTAAACTCTTCATCAGATGCAAAAGGTCGTACCCCGGAGAGATGTCTTTCAATAAGATCTCCCAGACTTGGTAGTGGCAGTGGTGGTGGTACTATCGCTCTAGGGCCATCAGGCTGCTGATTCGTAGTGGACATTCGGGAAGATGGTCTTTCACTGTGTCCGTTGACAGGTGTGCCATCACTATGTTCGAAGTGCTTGCTGATGAACTTGGAACGCTGGGCAATGAGAGATACCAGATCGTGCAGACTTGACGCGTCCAGAATTTCCGTTGTTTGCATCGGAGCTTGAAAGGTACGCATGATCCAGTTCTTGAACTCTATTGCCAGGAGCGAGTCTAGTCCGACGTCCACAATTGCTGCGTCCATACGTATGTCATCACGATCAACGGCGCAGAAGGCGGCAAGCCGCTCGCACACCAAGGAATTAATATTCCTTGTGATAGCTTGTGGGTCTTTGGCCTGTTTGAACTCTTGTTCAAGCGTCATGGGCTCCGGACCATCTGTGTTGACCGCTGTGGTCCCATCATTTCGTCGAATATCACTGAAAAGAGCATCTCTCCAGTCAAGCTCGATCCGCTCTGTTGGGAGCACCAAAATCTCCCTGGGGCCCTCTCGCTCTCCTATGGCGCAGAGACAGTGGCCAAGCATTTCGGAGAGCTCTCCTTGGTGCCGAGACGAGATTTCGTTGGGAGAGATCTGGTTATTGTTCACAGAGCTGTCGATGATGGGCATTCGCAGAATGATCTGGCGCGTCTGATGGTTCGGGATACCATAGCCCCCCTCGTCAATTATCGTATCTGTGGGCATAATACACCCAATAGCCTCACCTGTCCTTGGTGCCCGCTGTGATAGAGTGATAATGAAGTCCGGAGCATGGTGTTGTATGAGCTGACGTACAAGAGTGGTGCAGCGAGATAGGTAGTCAGTGTTCACCCTAAGCTCTCCATTGATTGTTGTTTCGGACGCCTTGAATGGTTAGCTTGAGAAATCAGAAGTATTTTATCGACTGGTACTTACTCCGAAGATTGGCTCTATGCTGAAGATTCCCTGGACTGATGCCAGCCTCTCTCTACATCTTGCCATTGTGTCCTCGACTCCTAGAGGGTTTGAGACGTCTAGTTCGAACCACTCACATCTAGTTCCTGCTCCATAAAAATGCTGCAGAGGCCTAAAATTCTGTCCAGAACTGCCATTTGTGAAAGCGATGCCAACAATGTCGGCGGCACCACGGTCTGCAAGAAAAGTACATAAGCTCTCATTGAGGTTTGGAGTTCCCCCGAGGACCGCATAAGACCCATCTCGGTCAAGCTCGGTAGCCTGATCTAGAGGCACAGTTTGCCGCACATAAACTTGGTCATCAGAGCTCAAGACAAGTTTTCCGACGTGTTTTTCGCTATTAATAACCCTGAAGGCCTTTTCGATATCCGTGATAGGCATAACTGCGAGGCTGGGACATCTCACACCGCCAGACTTATACATCGCCATTGCTCGCCCAAATTTTTCGTGTAACCTCTGACGATACTTTGCTTTGAGCGCGTTCATGTTGACACTGGTATATGAGATATTTTTGTTGCAGCGTGGCGTAGAAAAGGTGATGTCGGACTTGACGATATTGATGATGACACCAAGGTCTGAGAGGCATGGAACACTTGCGTCGACGAGATCCCCAGAAGAGCAATTCAAGACGACATCAACACCTTGTCCTCCGGTTTGGTGGTCAATTTGGTTTTGAAAGGCTGTGCTTCGATTTGAGAAAATGTGGTCACGAGTCAACCCCGTTGCCTCCGTCACTAAGCGGGCCTTTTCTTCGCTTCCTACAGTGGCGTAGATATCGGCCCCAATATGCTGTGCAATTGATATCGCCGCTTGCCCCACCGCTCCCGCAGCCCCATGTATGAGGATGCGGTGCGACTCCTGGAGGAGTACAATATCCATTAGAGCATGACACACCGTTTGGAATGCCAGTGGGATGGCTGCTCCTCGCTCAAAAGAGATCGAATCGTCGAGGTGTTGGACAAAGTGGTGGTTTATTCTGACGATATTCGCGTAAGGTATTGCTCCCCACCCACAAACACGATCACCGGCCTTGTATTCTGACCGGAGCGCAGTACCGACGTCAATCACTACTCCGGCGAACTCACCAACCATTGATTCTGCAGAATTTGCCCTTCCAGTGGCGACGGCGACGTCGCTCCGGTTGACTCCATGGGCGTATACTTTGACCTTGATTTCATCAGATGCTGTTTGGCTTTCCGCGTTACTGTTGGGCACAAAGCGTGCACTGCTTAACAAACCAGGGTTCTTGAAGTCCAATTTCAGGGCTTTTCCACAATGAAACTTGGCGACATGTTCACCAGATTCATCACACGAGAGCCCTTTCAACCGTCTATTCGAATCTTCATGTGGCTGCAGTCTCGGGACAAACAACGTTCCCCGGCGATACTCGTACTCGAAGTCAATGACTCTTGTATTGTCTATTTCGGCAAATGACTTAGTGATAACCTCGGCTATTAGATCGCTGAGGGTGTCACCGCTCCTGACATCGTCTTGACACGCTAAAGAGACAAAGTGTACTCCATTAATTTTCGCCATGTTTCGTGCCAACGGAGCGTAAGCTGAGTTCTGGCCATCGCTCGGACAGATGGTAATCCACAGCACGGACTTTACTTGGGCAAAAAATGTTGACATATCGGTAGTCGATAGCTTCGATAGGAAGTCCTCTTCAATCACAACTTGGATCGAGCTCGAGTTTATCGGCTCGCGATTCCACGGAAGGATAAGAGCGTCAGCTCGTTCGCTGAGGTGACTGATAATGTGTTTCACTATACCATTGGCCTGGTCGCTCTGGCTAAATGAGCAGAGCTGCAATTTGTGGTTCAGCCGCTCTTGGGGCAACGCTGAAGTTCTCTCCGAAGCAACCCAATTGAGACTGTAGCAGCGGGTTGCCGCAGGGGTAGTCTCCGCGAAACCTTCACCAATGCCTCGAAACTCTTCATTGGTCAGGGAGCCAACCTCAACCATCTGACCATGGTCATCTTCCTGCATGATTGACACGTTAACTGCTCCGAATTTACGACGCGCTTGTTTCAGATCACAGACGACCGTGAAGCTGTCGCCGGGCTTGTTCAATATGTTGGCAGAAATCGACGCTTCTCCGATGGAAGTGAGCATCACCGGACCCTCACTGCAAAATCGATGGTACAGCGGAAGAGCGATGTGCATAAAGGCGTCGAACGTCGCTGGATGGATCACATGATGCTGCAAATGTCCCGAAGGCATGCATTTCGCAATATCTGGCACTTCAATCTTCCCAAGGCAAACTTGTTTACCTATTTTCAGGCTCTTGATGATGGAAAAATTGTCGCCATAATCAATACCGTTCCGCCTGAGACCGTCATACAGGTCCGAGGTTAGCAATTGACGGTTACATTTTTTTGTGAGTTCGTCCACTCGCTGTGCAGCTGTGGCTAATGGACAGACTTGTCCAGCAAACCGGACCTCCGGTGCAAATTCGCAGCCAACCAATCCATGACAGTTGTCATTCCAGGAGCCATCAGCAGCCTGCGAGGTAATTCGAAATTCGTGCCATGTTATACCAAGCCTCTCACCTGATTTTCTGGCTGGTTTCAGACTCAGCAGAACTTCCACAGCACCTGGTGAGTCCGGCACCACGATGGACTTTGTGAAATTAACATCTTTAAAATGGTAGCGTTCAATTTTCCTCCTTTCTCCTCGCTCTTCGGTCACTTTTTTGAGTCCTTCTATGGCTTGGACTAAGAAAGCAGACCCGGGATACAAAGCAAACCGGTCAATCAAATGCTCTTGTAGCCAGGGCAGATCATCTATGCTGAGGATCAGGCGGAAAACTGGCTCCATTGTTGTGGTACCTATTAACCGAAGTCCGAGCAAGTCATGTGGGGGGTGTGGGCGATGTCGGTAATCTTTACTAAGCCGGGATTCGTGCCAATATCTTTTCGAGTGGTCCCAAGAGTACCCTGGTAGATCTGGGATAAGGCTGCAGAGACGAGGAGGCTCACCATGTAGAAGAGTTGACTGGTTGATGTCTACTGATAAACCTTGCTCCCAGAGGCGGCCGCTCATCTCAAGGACTGCTTGACAAGGATCTCGCTTCCGGACTAAGGTAGGTGAGTAGGACCATTTGCATTTTTCTCCCAAGGAACCCATTGTTTGACGTATTGGGCCTTCCAGAGCACTGTGAGGCCCGACCTCGACAAACACTAGATCATGGATAGCTCCTCCACATTCTCTCGCAAGTCGGTCGAGGACTTCGGAAAAACGGACCGTGGATACTAGATTATCGACCCAATACGACGGACCCGGTACATCGCAATACTCGCTGCCTGTCACTGAGGAGAAGAACTTCGTCTGCGTTAGAGGGGCTGTGGCAGTCAACCCATGGAGGGACTCCTCGAACTTCCTAGCTACCGCATACATGTGGTGTGAATGGTATGCGATATCGACCTTCAGCCGTCTGTTGAATATAGAGTCTCTGTCCAAAAGTATCTTTAGGTCTACCACTGCAGCTTCGTCGCCCGATATGGTCACACTAGAAGGACTATTGACGCAAGCGACCAATGCTCGGCCTGAAAGGATGTTGTCTAGATATCTGCAAACATCCTTCTCGCCCAGTCCAACGGCCAGCATTGCTCCCTTACCCTCAATGACCTCCCGGCACCATTCAGCGACAAATCCTTTTTGGTATGATATTTGAAGGGCAGCTTCATGGCTCAACATACCGGCCGCATAAGCAGCAGCAACTTCACCACTCGAATGTCCGAGAACAGCCACCGGGTGGACACCTAATTGAGCCAGAAGGCTCACGAGGGCGATTTGAATGGCAGTCGTCGCAGGCTGAGAAAGTTGACTCGAGTTAATTCTGGATTCCCACTCAGGCTTTCGAAGTTCATCCATGAGATCCCAAGAAGCACCCAGATTCCGCAGGATCTCTTGTGATTTCTGAAGTGAGTATGAAAATGTAGTGTTTAGGTGCAGAAGCTCTCTTCCCATCGCAGCATATTGTGCACCTTGACCGGTGAACAAGAAAATCGTCTTGGGATTTGAGGACGTTTTGGTGAGGCGAGTACTGCTCATAGAAGTGATGATATCTGATTTCGCCTTGCCAACAATGCTAGCTCTCCAGTTGAATGCGGAACGTCTGGTCGCCAGAGTTCTGGACAAGCTGAACAACACATCGGGGCTGGGTTCATGTTTGTTGATCCACCACCGAAGGTTTTCGATGTTGGCCTTGAGCGATTCCTTAGACTTAGCGGTAATCACGAAGAGCAAAGGTTCATCGTCTTTTGCTACGGATGATATGTTGGCAATATCTGTCTTTGTTTCTGCGCCATTCTGTCGGTGCTCGTTCAGTAACCCATTCGGGTAGCCGGGGCTCGATTTCTGGTCATGAAATTCATGACCATTGGCCAGTCCGTTTAAAAATGGGACCGTCCTCGTGGGATAACAACCGGTCGCGTCGCCATCTCCCGGTCTCGAATACCCTTCTAAGATAACGTGAGCATTGGTGCCGCCGAATCCGAAGCTGTTCACGCTTGCTCGGCGGACTGAACCGGTCGGCCAGGTATAAACCTTCCGGGGGATCTGGGTACGCAATTAGTGAAAATTCGAAAAAGCACAGACTCATCATACCTACTTTGATTTTCCCACTATCCACTGCCAGTGACACTTCTGGCTTCAGGGTCTGCAGCGCTGCGACTGGAGGAATGAGGCCCCTCTCCATTGACAAAACAACACTGAGGATACCGGATAATCCACTCGTACTCTCTGAATGCCCAAGGTTGGCTTTTATCGAACCGACCGTTAATGCTTGTTGTCTTCTGGATCCATCACCAACAAAAACTTCCTGAATCGATCTGATCTCTGCAGCATCGCCGGCGGCTGTACCGGTTCCGTGCATCTCGACATATTGAGTTTCTTGCGGGTCAAGCCCGCTCTTTTCGTACAAACTAGCCGTCAACCGCTGCTGCGAGTTGGAATTCGGAAGTAGGATACCATTAGTCTTGCCGTCCTGGCCAACCCCGGAATTCAATATGACTGCTCTGGTTGTATCACCGTTTCTCTCGGCATCGCTGAGTCTTTTCAGCACAAGGACGGCGACCCCCTCAGCCCGGCCATATCCAGCCCCACGACAGTCGAATGGGTAACAACGGCCATTCTCATTTATCATGTGTAGATTACTCATAGCAACTGTCATATCTGGTCCCAGAAGTAAATTTGCTCCCCCAACCAGTGCCATATTTGACTCTCTAAGACGAAGGGCCTGGCAGGCGAGATGGATTCCCACCAAACCGCCCGAACAGCCGGTATCAATGGTCATAGAAGGACCTCTGAAATCGAACATATAAGATATCCTTCCGCAAGCTACTGCATCCCCACATCCGGTCAAGTGATGTTTGGGGATCTGGCTTGGATCTTTGTATATTTGGCGGTCATAGTCGCGGCTTACAAGCGCAATATATACGCCAGTGTTAGTGCCTCGAAGCCCCTCAATGGGCATGCCAGCATTCTCTAACGCTTCATAGGAGACCTCAAGCAGCAAGCGTTGTTGAGGGTCCATGGCCACAGCCTCAGCGTCGGGTATCCCGAAGAACTTTGCGTCGAACTCGGCGATGTCTTGGTTGAGGAAGAAACCTCCGCGAGCATTATGGGTCCCTTTTGCATCTGGGTCAGGGTGATGGAATGACTGCCAATTATACCGACTTTCTGGCACATCCGTCCATACTTGCTCACCACCTGCTAGAATTTCCCATAATCTGTCCGGAGTATTTGCATCACCTGGCAGTCGGAAACTGAAACCAACGATGGCAATAGGGTCTGTCATCATATACAGAATGAGCAATATAGAGCTTTATTGGAGGTCTGGAGGGCTCCTTTAAAGCACTATTTGATATAAAGACGCTCTATTAGATGGGTGTGTTGATCAGCCTCCACATTCGTTGGGTATACGCGGAAACTTGAACACATAGAAGCCGTCTTAGAGAATATAAAACGTAGTCAATGATACAACGTTTATGGTTCCCTTTGTGTCCTCTCCGAAGCGTTCCTTCAGAACCCTCTCAGTAGAGAAGTAAACTGCACCGGCTGAATGCTTCTTTCTGAATACATACTGACTTTCCCAGAAATTGCATCGTCCACGCCAATACTTCTTTTCGTCGGATAATATGAGGACTACTCAATGATTTACCTTATTCGGGCGCCCTATCCGGCAGCTATGAGTACGCCGGGACCCTTTGCCCGTCTCCAAAACGGACGGGGCACACACGCCCTCAATCATGACGCACCAGCAACCCTGATACGCTCTGAATTCATGTCAAGCGTGACCTGTATGTCAAGAATGATTTCCAACCCTCGGCAATGTTGGGCGGTTTGATCCATCATACAACACGAGACTTAGCGTAATGAGAGTGAACCGGAATGAGTGGGTCAGAGGTGTCACTAGCGATTCTTAACGGACGTATTTTGACCAACACCACACCGCACGACCTACTTCGGCCTAGCTTGCAAGAAACATGCAGGTGTCCTGGGCTATTGCGAGGTTCTCTGAAGTGACCCCCCGGAAGTAGACTTGGTACAGCGCCTCGCTGTGTACTGTAGTGTTTCGTAAGGTATTGTCTGTCAGGCTTGAAATTTCGGCTGGACGATGAATACATCATGGTGCTATATAATCTAGCTACGTAAGGGCAGGCGATTGGGAGTTTCACAGCCCTCTGAGGCAATACGGAGAATCCTCGGGTTTCATGCATCCGGAGGTGGAGCTCGGAGCTATCCCACACGCTCTTGCTCTCCGCACTTTATTCGGGTCTCCGGTAGATGCGTCTTGGGGGCCACTGATTTATGCAGCTCGCTGGCGAGATGAACTGGATCTTCGTGTACTACGTACGGCCACTTTCCAAGTTCCTGCAGTTTCCTCGTTTCAGAATATAGCCTAAACTCTCGGTGCATGACAAATCCGGAGCCCCATTTGACGAGGAGCTACCGTGCATATCGAAATGCACCGGACTTAGAATGACACCCCACCTGGTCCTGAGAAGGGAGTACTTCAGCTCACCTTAGTTCTTGACCTCGGTGATGTATCCACGCACGGGTTCCTGACAGAGTAGCATCGCTTCCTGAGGATTTGGCAGTCGATAGCTGACGGCTAGCTACAAAACTCTAGGCAAGACTCTAATGGAGTCATTACCCCTGTCTTCTCGGAAGATCTTCGGTTATGTGAGGACCGACAAGTCCCATGTAGTATATTAATTAAAGAGAACGACGAGCGTGTCATACGACAAGAATGCAAGTCATTATACAGCATCGCTTAGGATCGTCAACATCAATCAGTCTCCAATTCGCACATTCAACATGGGCAAACTCTACGAAATCGTGACGTTCAAGACCATTGATGGCAACTTTATACGGGGCAGACTTTACCCAGCCGCTCAGCGAGGACCTGCCGTAATTCTTACACCTGGCGTGCGTGGTACTTCATGCTCAAAACATTAAAGGGAGATTGACGGTAATATAGTATAACGGGGTAGTGGTGAACTTTCCCCCGGGTGTACCGGAAGAATTTCAAAAAGCAGGCATCACCGCACTTGTGTACGATCCGCGGAACACAGGCAAAAGTGGCGGTTTCCCTCGAAACGATATTGACCCTTTCAAGCAAGCAGAAGACTACTCAGATGCGTTCACATTCCTCAGCAAGCAACCCATAGTGAATCCTGAAGCCATCGTATTTTGGGGTCTTTCGCTATCAGCTGGCATCGCGTTGTCGAATGCAGCAATCGACCGGCGGATCGCTGCAGTCATTGCAATAGCTCCAGTTTTCGAATATAGTCCTATAAAGCCTTCGGATGCGCAGAAACTGAAGTACAAGCTGATGAAGGATCGGGAGTCGCAGGTCAATCATGGAACTCCCCCCTACATCCTTCCGATTCTGGAGTCCGTGGCATTCCTTCCCTTCAACTCCCACGTCAGCACCACCGATGAAGAGCGGAGAAAGGAAGAGGACGAATATCACCGCCACCTAGCAAATCAGTGGAAAGAAGAAGCTGGCGAAGACGCCGTCTTTGATCCTGCGCTAACGCACAATGCATACGGTACGACAATACAGTCATATCACCGGATGTTCTTGTGGGAACCCATACCTCTGGCGATGGTTAAACACGTCAGCCCTACACCCTTGATGATCTTAACTCCCGAGTTGGACCAGATTTCTGACCCCGCCCATCAGACAGCGGTCTTCGAATCACTACAAGGGCCAAAGCGACAAATGATTGCACCTGGAAGGGAGCACCTTTATGTGTTAAATGGGCCTAACATGCCAGTCTTGGTGAAATGGCAGACAGAGTTCATTTGGCAGGTGGTCAGAGGACGCTTCAAAAGTCTTCCTGGAAAGACCGAAACGGAGAATTCCATTAGTGTCACCGTTAATGGGGTCAATGCAGCTAGTGCATGAGCCCGGTATGATCATTACATGCTCTAGAATGTTGAAAATCGTGATTTGAATTATTCGCCTACAAAATGAAGCCAGAATTATGATATATATCCACTAGCTCTGCAGTGACTTTGAAACCAAACTCACGCTCTTTGCGGCATTTTAAGTTTCTCACAGATAATTCTGCAAATAATGAACTCGCCTACACTTGTCACAAACCCTCAGGTGCCCAGTGAGGTCGGTGTCCGGTGTCATATCCCAACAAAGCAACAGAATTGCAAGCCGACCGATTACCCGTAGTCTCCATAAGTAAGCTGGATGCCAGATAACATGCGAATATGATAGTATGTGGGTGGCCGACTGTGTAACGGCTGGTCTATCGATGGCATTAGCGTACGCAGACGGATTATGGTACGAGAATCGTCGCCCCACGTGACCCTCACAGAGCAGCATAGCTTAAGCACCTGGTCACTCCAGTAGCAAGTAGCATGGACTGCCTAATACATCAGACCGCTACCGATCATGCCGAAATGCTGGCCAGCTGCCCAAAAGAGAAAATCTGGGTCGGAATACTCGCGCTCGAGGCCCGAAAAAGGATGTTTTCATCTCCCTCCTCGAAGAGTCCTGGGTCGGCGCTTTTTGGCAAATGTCGTGGTCGGCATCTAACTCTGTCTGCGGCCAGAAATGCAAATACCCGGTCTACGTAACTATGGAGCGCCATGCCGGCTGAATAGTCGCTGCAAATTCAGTGTTGAACGCCCCACAGTCACAGCTTGGAGTGAGCAGTCTTTCCTCTCCTAATCCCTAATGCGGGGGCATTTAGCCTACGCCTCATGGGACTCACCCTGTAAAGGGCCCCATGCCTGACTAAGCTGCAAATACCCCCCCATATGCGTTGACATTACAAGGTTGTAATTAATGTCGCTGAGTTACAATGTGTGACAAAACTAGCATTCAGGCCGTACCTTAACCGTCCTCATTCATACATCCGGGTTATTTTGACGTCGATTGATAGCCGTGCCGAAAATGACCACCCTGACGAAGGACATATCATGGGATGATAAAAGGGACTTAGGCCCCTCAGATCCGCAGCCGAAGAGGCAGTTACCAGATCCCATATAGCGCACACTGTGGGACAGGGACAATATTGCAGACTTCTTCCGGCTAGGTGGTAATGGGACAATAGATAGTCACAATGGGTGACGTCAGAAGCGGATATACAAACGGTTATGCCAATGGTGAGAGTAATCATCGCGTCAACGGCCATGTGGCAAGTAACGGACTCGGGCATCCTGATGGCGTGGCCTCAACCCCCGAGCCCATCGCAGTTGTGGGCATGTCCATGAGACTTCCCGGGGGGATTCATACGGAAGAGGCACTATGGGACTTACTTGTCAACAAGAAGACAACCAGAGGTCCTATCCCGCAATCGAGATACAACTGCGAGGGCTTCTACACAGAAAGCGGCAAACCCGGAACCATTGGCGTTCGTCATGGCCACTTTCTCGAAGATCGCGACGGCATCGATGTACTAGATACATCATTCTTCAACGTCAGCAAAGCCGAGGTTGACAAGTTGGATCCGCAGCAGCGTATGCTCCTAGAGGTTGTCTGGGAGTGTGTGGAAAATGCGGGTCAACGCAGCTGGCGGGGAAGCAACACCGGAGTCTTTGTCGGTGCTTGGGGCTATGACTGGATTGACATTCTTGCGAAAGACCCACAGCAAGTTGGTGGTGTGGTCAACACACTAGGCTCGCATGACTATGCCATTGCGAACCGAGTGTCGTACGAGTACGACTTGCAGGGGCCCAGCATGACCATCAAAACTGCGTGTTCATCTTCGTTGATATGCGTACACCAGGCAGTTCAAGCCCTCCGCAATGAGGAGTGCGACGCGGCCATTGTGGCCGGAACGAACTTGATTATGACGCCAACCACGACAATTGAACAAACCGAGTCTGGTGTTCTGTCCCCTACAGGAGAGTGCCGCACCTTCGATGCTACTGCAAATGGATATGCGCGAGGTGAAGCCATCAACGCTCTCCTGCTGAAGAAGCTCAGCAAGGCGAAGGATGACAAGGATGTTATACGAGCTGTGATACGCTCTACCGCTGTCAATTGTGACGGGCGAAGCGCTGGTCTTACGACCCCCAATCCCAAGGCACATGTTCGTTTGATAAAACGAGCTTATGAAGCCGGTCGACTAAAAGACCCTTCAGAAACGCCATTTGTGGAAGTCCATGGGACTGGGACGACGACTGGAGATCCACTTGAGCTCGAGGCCATTGCCGAAGTCTTTGGTGACCGACGGGATACCTATATCGGTGGGGTTAAAGCCAACGTTGGCCACAGTGAGAGTGCTTCTGGGATTACCAGTGTCATAAAAGCCGTTCTAGCGCTCGAAAAGCGCACCATTCCACCACAAGCCAATTTCTCGACACCGAACCCGAAAATACCATTTGCAGAAGCTCGATTAGTCGTACCTTTGGAGCCAACTCCCTGGCCGGAGGGTCGGCCAGAGAGAGTCAGCGTCAACTCTTTCGGTATCACCGGTGCCAATGCCCACGCCGTCATCGAATCTGCTTCCTCTTACGATGATGTCACAGAGGGCCTTGCCAACAACCGAGGACGTGAATCCAAAACTTCGGAACTCCTCTTGATATCAGCAACCAATGGCCGCTCTTTGAAGGAACGTTGTTCGCAAATACAGGATTATATTGGACAACACCCCCAGCAGATATCAGATCTTGCCTACACCCTGTCTTGTCGTCGCGACCATCTCTCTCATCGAGCCTATTGTATCACAAATGGTCAAGATTCTGTCGAATTTGTTACTGCAGATCGATCGAAGCAAATTCCCAAGTTGACGTTTGTCTTCACAGGCCAAGGAGCCCAATGGCCATCAATGGGCAAGGAACTGATTGAGAGGTTCCCATCTTTTCGGGAAGACATTATTCGACTGGGAAATGCACTGACCAAGTTGCAATATCCACCATCGTGGAGCTTGTTAGACGAGCTCTTACAAGAGGATGTCAAGAGCCGGGTCAGCAAAGCTGAATTCTCGCAACCCTTATGCACAGCAATTCAAATTGCTCTAGTCAATCTTCTAAGGTCGCTCGACATTGTACCCTCAGCTGTTGTCGGTCATTCCAGTGGAGAAATCGGCGCGGCGTACGCGGCTGGCGGCATCACTGCTGCAGAAGCGATATCAATTGCCTACTACAGAGGCTTAGTAACCACAATATCAACCCGGAGAGGAGCAATGGGTGCAATTGGCCTTAACCAGGCTGAAGCAAGGCTATACCTTGAAAATGGTGTGGTGATAGCTTGCGAGAATAGCCCCCAGAGTGTTACGCTCTCCGGTGACGAGGAGGTCCTTGATCGTATCATCGAGCGTATTAAGCTTGATGATGCCGAGGTTTTTACGCGTCGTCTCAAAACCGACGGGAAGGCATACCATTCGCACCATATGGCTGAGATTGGGACCGTGTATGAGGAATATTTAGGGCCTGTTGTTAAGGAACGATCTCCGGCGATAAGGTTCTTCTCTACAGTCACCGGGAAACTTGCGGAAGATACCACCCTTGGCCCGCAGTACTGGAGACGAAACCTCGAGTCTCCCGTCCGATTCTCCCCTGCGGTTAAATCCATTATCGAGAATGGGACTTCAGATCAGCTGTTCTTAGAAGTTGGCCCTCATTCGGCGCTCGCCGGGCCCTTGAGACAGATCTTTAAAGCGTCTCCCTCGAAAGCCCGTTTAATCTACTGTTCATCGCTGGTCCGTGGCAAGGATGCCAGGGAATGCATCCTGGATATGTGTGGCCAATTATACCTCCAAGCAGTGCCATTGACCTTTCAGATACTCACAACTGGATCTAATTTACTCACGGACCTTCCAACTTACCCCTGGAATCATGATACATCCTACTGGAGTGAGAACAGGGCAGTGAAAGATTGGAGGCTGCGAAAGTTCCCTCGACATGAGCTGCTTGGCTCGCGAGTACTAGAGGGTAACGACGTCGAACCGGTATGGCGTAACATGTTGCGCCTCAAAGATACCATCTGGCTTGCCGGTCACAAGGTATACGGCGACGTTGTGTTCCCTTTCGCCGGGTATATTGCTATGGCAGGAGAAGGAGTTCGCCAACTCACGGGGATTGAGGGTTTCATAATCCGCAATCTTAACGTCAAAACAGCAATGGTTGTGCAAGATAATCCCGTCGAGGTCATGACAAGCCTGAGGCGATCAAAGAACTCACACGAATCTGAAAATGGCTGGTACGAATTCGCAATAGTCTCACACAATGGTAGCACATGGGCGGAGCACTGCGATGGAGATATCAGGCCTGGAGCCGAACCGCCAACATATTCACAGATACCACCAAGCGAAGCCCTTCCCAGGAAAATTCATTCACCCTACGACTTATTTCAATCGGTAGGGCTACATTACAATGGCTCATTCCGAGGTCTAGAGGATGTGTCAGCAATGCCGGGCCAAAAAATGGCGGTAGGGACGCTGAAGGCTCAGACCATTACAGATTCAGCCTATGCCCTACATCCGGCAACAATGGATCAATGCCTCCAGTTGTTAGGCATGGGGTCGAGCGAAGGCCTGTCAAGACACCTGCAGCGCATTCCTCTACCGACGTTCGTGGAAAAAATTTCGATACAGCCTCACAAGTCACCAGACCGCCTCCGGGCAAAGGCAGTTGCAACCCATATAAGTGCCCAGGGAGATATCGAGGGCGAGATGATTGCTATGGAAGGATCAACTCCCGTCCTTGTGGTGGAAGGCTGTCGCCTTTCTGCATTCGAGGAGAAACTGGTCACTGTCCTAGATGATCCAATAGCGGCAGCCCGTGCCAGCTGGCGACCGCATATTGATTTTGTCCCATTGGAAACCCTGATGTTGTCGCACGAAAAGGATGCGAACGATGTTAGAATCATAGAGGAATATGGGCTCCTCTGTTCCGCAGAAATCCTGGAGAGGATCAAAGACACCCAAGACTCTCACTGGCATTTCACAAAGTTTCGCAAGTGGATGGACGGTGTTGTTACAGGGGGACGCTTAGGTCAAAATAAGATTGTGTCCAACAGCAAGGAGCTTCTGGAGCTGAGCTCCCAACACCGTTTAGAGCTGATTCACCTCTTACAGGAGAAACTGAAGGCGTCACCATTTGTTCACGTCGCAGAGCTTACGACCCGCCTTCTTGACAATTGCGTCGGAATATTCGACGGCACGACTGAGGTGCTCGAAGTTTACCTTAAAGATGACACCCTCACGAAGCTATATGCTCTCACTGGAGCTAGGATTGACGCGTCAGAGTTTTTCGTCAGCGCCGGCCATAGCAACCCAACATTGAGGGTTCTAGAGATTGGCGCCGGAACCGGCGGGACCACATTGATCGCTTTGAAAGCCCTTACGTCAATCAACAACGAACCAATGTACTCAAGCTATACGTTCACCGATATATCTTCTGGATTCTTTGCGGCCGCAAGGGACAGATTCAGTGAATTTCCAGGTCTTGAGTTCAAAACCCTGGATATCAGTAGAGATCCAGGCGGACAGGGCTTCGAACTTGGGACCTACGATCTCATCGTCGCTTCGAACGTTATCCACGCCACAGAGTTCATCAACGTCACGCTTAAGAATGTTCACAAACTGCTAAGTCCCCGCGGAAGATTTTTCCTTCAGGAGGTTATCCCTAGCTCCGTGAAGATGAAGAATCTCATCATGGGTCCTTTACCGGGATGGTGGCTTGGCGAAGCTGATGGACGTGTCAACGAGCCAATCATCTCTGTTGAGCGATGGTCCAGCGAACTTCGAGCTGCCGGTTTCTGTGGTATTGAATGTACAGTGCTAGATGATCCGAAGCACGAGGCGGCTTTCGGCGCCAATATGATCGCGAAGCCTATTGTTAGCGCGCAAGAGTACAAATCGGTCACGATTCTAATCAGGCCGGACCAGGCCGAGACGGATATCGTGAAGCTGATGCGACAAGTTTTCGAAGGACAAGAGTATTTCGTGGATATCTGCATTCTCGGAGGTTTGATACCGCCGTCTCAGGACATCATGTCATTGGTTGAAATTGATAAACCATTCTTTGAGCAGCTTACTGCCGAAGGTCTCTCAGCCTTCCAGCAGGTCGTTGCTGGGCTCACCTCGGCTCGAATGCTCTGGGTTATGGGATCTGCACAGATTGAGCCAAGCGACGCTCTCTTTGGCATTACGCTTGGCTTAATCCGTTGTATACGAGCAGAAATGTCAGTTCCCCTTGCAACGCTGGAGATTGACAAATTCGACCCTTCATTGAGCGAGACTATCCTGAAGGTTTTCGAGAAGTTCTTAGATACAAGCCATGCTGCGACGAATACAGACCACGAATACGTCATCGACGACAACTTTGTGAAAGTTGGTCGATATCACTGGACTAATGTGCCAAAGGAGCTTGAGGCATCGCAGGACACTGATGATCTTCCTCTCAAGCTAGAAGTTGAAGTTACACGAGTTTCCAAGCTCTTGAAGTGGGTCCCACAACCCATTATCAAAATTCGGCCTGAGGAGGTCGTTGTTCGCCCTATTTATGTCGGAATGAATCCTCAGGTACTGCCCTTACACATAATTGCCTCCAACCTAGCTAATACCTCTCACAGGATTTCTCTACTCTGGAAGAGGGCAGGGTTCGCGATTACTATGGAGAAATAGTCGAAGTTGGCAGCAACGCAGGGCTGCTCAACGTTGGCGATCGCGTCATAGCTTTGGGCTCCCGTGAAGTTCATACAAGTTTGAAATTCCTGGCCACCAATGTTATCAAAATCCCTGATGGCTTAGACCCGGAAAATGCAGCGTCGATGACACTGGGCTACGCTACTGCCCTTCATTGCCTCCGGGACCTAGCACGGGTCCAGAAAGACCAAACGGTCCTGATCGCAAATGCGGACTCAGATGTTGGCTTAGCAGCCATTCGCGTTTGTTACATGATAGGAGCCCAGGTAAGCTTGTTCGACCTTCAATCGGGCCTAGAGCTGATCCAAGTAGCCGTATTGCTCCGTTCACAGCGAGGAACGAGCAAGGTTTCTCGTCAATGAGGCTGGTATTTCTGATGCTAGGAGCGTTACAACTCATAGCAGCTTATCTCTTCATGACCTTGCAAGCAAGAGTGGAAAGGCGGGCTTTGATGTAGTAGTGAATGTGCTATCCGAAAGCCTCAGAGAATCGTGCAAGTATGTCGCACCTCGAGGAAAGGTGAGAATGTTTTTCTCCCAGTACGAATACTCATACTGACGATTTACTAGATAATCAGCCTCGGCGGTCCCGTTCTCGAAAACTTGGATATGAGTCTGTTCGCTACCAGCAGAACCTTTTTGAGCGTCGACATGGGAGAAATGGATGATCTCTATCCTGAGTAAGAAGCCAATTCCTCGGCCAGTGTCGACTGGAGCAACGCTGACAAAAATTCAGACTTCTGAAAGAAATAGTCTCACTGTATCAACAGAAATTGATCGAACCAATCAGACCAACTCGATTAGTCGAGATAGAAGAGCTTGAGGGTGCTCTTCGCTCTTCCAGCAAGCCGGATTTAACAGGGAAGTTGTTACTAAAATTGCCCATAGATCGCGGCTCCCTTCCCATCCAGGCTACACAGCCAGTCCTCAAATTCCGTAGCGACGTTTCCTACCTGATAGCTGGCGGCCTTGGTGGCCTGGGGCGTGCCATCTCAAATTACATGGCAGAACACGGCGCTCGACATTTCATCTATCTCTCTCGCTCCGCTGGGAGTACCTCGAAATACGAATCCTTCTTCCGCGAGCTTGAAGCACAAGGCTGTACCTTCCAAGCTCTCACTTGCGACATCACATCCCTTGACTCCGTCCGCGACGCAATCCAGCAAGTTAAGTTTCCCATCGCTGGCGTCCTCCAGATGGCCATGGTAATCCAGGACCGCCCCTTCCTCTCCATGTCCCATGACGATTGGACGACAGCCATCAAACCAAAAGTGGACGGCACTTGGAATCTGCATTCAGCTCTTCTTGATGCAAAGACAGAGTTAGACTTCTTTGTCATGTTTGGTTCCAACTCAGGCGCCTTTGGGATGCCAGGTCAGGGGAATTACGCCGCAGGCAACAGTTTCCAGGATGCATTTGTTCAGTATCGACACTCTCTGGGTCTTCCGGCCTCCGTCCTGGACATCGGTGTTGTTTCTGAAGTCGGATACGTGAGCCAGAACAAGGATATGTTGGACTACTTCCGTACAGCGGGATTTCCGATCCTGACCGAGGGCCAGGTTTCTGAGGCTCTTCATCTGTCAATTTTACAGCAGTATCCTCCATCCGAAGAGAAGGAGGAGGTAGCCGCCCGAGCCACCAATCCAGGATTTACCTCCAGGAGCCAACTCACCTTAGGCGTCAGAGCGACCAAGCCAATGACGGACGCGACAAATAGAGTGTTGTTTAAGCGGGATCGAAAAGCAGATATCTATCGGAATATCCAGGCTGCAAGTATGAATAGCCCAACTACGGGGTCCTCCAGGTTGAGCAGTGGGGATAAAATTGCAGGCCTTACGGCGTCCTTACGCGAGGCTGCAGATCCAGTTTCGGTTCTTAGCACCCCGGAGACTCTGAAGTTGTTACGGCGCGAGATTGGTGTCTTCATCTACGAGTCCATGCTCCAGTCTGTTGAAGAAGAGGATATGGAGTTTGAACGAAGCTTGATGTCGCTAGGTGTCGACAGCCTGGTCACGGTCGAAGTCCGAAGTTGGTTGAAGCGGAAGTTGGAGGTGGAAGTCAGCACTCTCGAAATGCTGAATGGCGGGACGATTGAGAATCTAGGGGAGTTGGTTTTGGAGAGGATGAAGATGAGATTTACGGAGAAATCCAAGGGGTAAATCTGGGGATACTTGAAATTGACACTGTGCTATAAAATAGGTAGCATAGAGCTCTTTGCATCTCACCTCTCAAGAGATATCATTACCAAAGATGCTGAGTTGTTCTCGTCTTTGACAAACATTCTCTGGTTTGGCTTCGCCTAGAAGAGACGTCGATGTAAACACTAAACAGCGTCCAACTCAACTACTCATATTTATCCCCTGCGATGATGGCCACAGTATGTGCTGAAAGGTGGCCAATTATCTAGTCCAGCTACCATCGAACTAATGTCAATAATAGAAGCACCACTTAAAACTAATTGAATGATACCCTAGATGCAGCATGACTTCCTCGGTGAAAGTCTCAATCTCAGCTATAGATACTGACCGCAACACTGCGTCTTCGGTTGTCCAAGTAGTTTACTTCATCCAAATTTGTATAGTAAGCCGTTGTCAACATCGGCATCGGATCCGGGTGACTTGACATGTGAAGCATTGCTCTTGGAAGTTGTCGAGCTCGTCGCTTTGTGTCAAAATTTCTTGTGCTATCTGAACTGAAAGAACGCTCTGGGTGGATTCGATCAGAGGGTGGCATAGAGCCTATCTATATAGCTTTTCTGAATAGTGCTTATTGGCGCTGTTGCCTCCGTAGTTGCCTGTTGAGGTGCTGTAGCCTGGTAGGTAACTGTGCACTCTCCATGCCAGCATCCCTGTTCGACACTTTGGTTCGGGCAGGAGGAGTCTGAACACTTGAAGCCTTTCATGATGACATTGCAGATTTTTTTTTTTTTTTTTTTTTGGGAGCCTCGCGATGTGTCAAATAGTATGTGGTAACATTTCAGCTGAAATACTCAGTTATACAAGGATCTCATCTGGGAGCCGGGCACGGAGACACCGGAAGGTGGCGACAATCTTTTTCTGTATAAACATGCGAAATGAGAGCACTCAAAACAATCAATGTACGCCCACTGATGTCTATCAGCCAGGCTATAGTTATGATCAACGCAATTAGAATAAGCCCCTTCCCAGGGGGGCATTTTCTCTCTTCCTTCGGACATAGACTTAGATGCTGAGGCATGGTGACCTAGTTACTTGTCCTCACCAAGGAAAATCTCACCTTTGCTCGCTCTTTCCCGTCGTCTTTCAGGAAATAGGCAGAACTTCGGGATTTTCGCTCGTATGTCATGCTGACGTATGAATCAACCGTAGCTTCACATGTGTAAGTCCGAGATTTAATACTATAGACCGACTTAGGCAAATGCGGTTTCAATGCTGTATTGTTTATACACGTTGTAATTACCGTATCGTAAGTTATTACGAGTGGGTCCGTGACTTCGGCTTTAGCGGGGTTCGCTTCGAGGCTGTTAACCCGAGGGGTCGGTTGATTGGGGGCTAGGGTACCACGATATTCTGCCTTCGTCTCATGCGATGGATACCCTGGACAAACAATCTCTCGAAACTCATTAGCCTCAACGTAGAAGGAGGCAAATCTCTCGTTGGGGACACCATACCCAATGCGAGACGGAATTGTATATCAAAAGATGCAATAGATTTGCAGGTGGCTTGGTTGCCGGAAAGAGGAAACAGTGATGATGTGAACGCTTGGATGAAAACAACGCATGCATCAGGCACTGTGGACGCTGAAGTCCCGGGGAATGCCTCAAACCAGCCTATAGCTATATTTGATATTTGACTAGATACCGTTTGTAATTTGTCGCCGCGGTGAGGAATTTTGCCGTGCCTTCGGCCTGTAGACACCTGCTCGTAATTCCCACTAAGATAATGAATGAACGGCATTTTAGGCTAAAGGTAGTAGGACCGAAGAGAGGTCGCCGCCGCCCGAAGATTCTCCTAATCAGGGACAGATGAAGGCAGAAGCTATGCTTAACGGGAGAGATTGTCAGGCATTGTTCTATGCTAGCCAAGTTTCTGTCTGATCGGTGGACTCTGATACTCGAGTATAGCGATAGGATGTTTCTGACAGTACTAGTATCTACTATCTACGTCGGACTCAGACTCTCATGTCGGGCTCTCGTTATCCCTTGTCGAATGCAGTTAGACAGTAGCAACCTTGGCGACTACCAATAGGCGCCACCGAGATAAATCATCGCTTGCTATGACGAGTGTTCTTTCTCACGAATGTTTGCCCCATCATGGCCATCCTGAGCGCCTTGTTCTTGCTGCCTGGAGTCCCCATCCTTTGTATTGCTATACTGCGAACATACAATCTGCTGATTAACTACCTGGAAGCCCAAAAATTTGGAATCCCCATCAAGGTGCTCCTGTTCAACCGTCAGGATGACATTTGGCTCTTCGTTTGGCGCCACTTCTATCCGTTCTTCAAACTCCTCCCGTTCAACTTAGGCTCGTGGATCGACTATTCATTCCATGGGTGGAATGTGGCTATCCGATTTAGGAACCATGAAGACCTCGGCGATGTTTTTGTCCTCGTCACGCCGAACCACAATGAAATCGTCACGACTGACCCCGTGGCGGGGTTCGAGCTGGAGTCGAAATACAAAACCTGGTATAAACCTCAACACCACTATCATATTTTTGATTTATTCGGCAAGAATCTCCTAACCGTCAATGGGGATGAATGGCAAAGACATCGAAAGATTACAAGTCCGGCTTTCCGGGAAGTGAATTATAAACTAGTTTGGAACGAGGCTTTGAGACAAGCCAAACAGATGTTTCAAATTGCTAGGAGCCGCTCACAGGGCCAGAATTATATGGAGGACATTAAAAATGATTCCATAATCTTCGCTATGCATGTTCTCTCAGCAGTGGGGTTTGGGCATGCATATGATTTTGATGGCGGGCTTCGACGAATTCCACCTGGACATGCTGTTAGCTTCTCCGATGCCATGTGGTTTATATTCACCAAGTTTCTAAGGATCGTAATGTTCCGCAACCTCTCACTCCCAGGATGGCTGACACCTCGGTGGCTTGTCGATATACAAACACACCTGAATGAGTTCAGGCAATACATGGAAGAGGCAATTGACAAACAGCGACGAGCCGGGCCACCCCCCGTCGGCTCCGGAGCTGATATTATCAGTGCTCTTATCCGCGCCAATGAACTGGTGAAGAACGAGGAGAAATATATACTTACCCCTGCCGGGAAACGCTCGTATCTTAACGACAATGAGTTATACGGAAATATGTTTATTCTTAACCTCGTGGGGTTTGAACCACCTGCTAATGCGGCAATGCATGTCCTTCCTTTCCTTACCTCCTACCGAGAGGTCCAGGATTGGGCTGGTGAAGAGGTGGACAAAGTACTCGGCGAATTAGATATTCTACAATACGAAGAGGTTTTTCCTCGCTTAGTAAGGTGCCAGGCGCTGTTGGTGTGTCCCCAGAGCTCAGTCAAGCGACCAATACACTGACTTCCCTGCATAGTATGAAACCCTTCGATTCTGGGGCCCTCTTGGTGACACCACCAGAATATGTCTGAACGAGCCGCAGATTCTTCGTGTTAGAGAGCACGAGCTAGTTGTTCCCCCTGGGGTCTATGTCAACTGGGACTTTGCCGGATCGCAAACCGATCCACGCTGGTGGGGACCGGACTCCATGGAGTGGCGTCCCCAGCGATGGATCAAGGTCGACCCAGCAACGGGTCATGAAATTCTCGAGGCCCCTTCAGAAGCGGCCGAAATGGCTTTCAACCCTTGGTCTGGGGGACCGAGAGTTTGTCCTGGTAAAAAATTCAGTCAAGTCGAGATTGTTGCCATGGTTGCAACTCTGCTAAAATCGTTCCGCCTCAAACCAATGATACTACCGGAGAGGGGGATGCGGACTGAGCAGGATGCACAACGCGAACTGTTAAGCGTCACCAATGATCTTGAGCTGCCGAGGAGGATGAAAGGGGAGAGAATGCGAGATGCTGGGATAGTGATTCTTGACCGATGAATTGCTCGTGGATGGATTTGGTTCGAACTACTTAGGATCTTGGGGTCTCGAGGTGCTCAACCACTTTCCGGGTCCTCTTGATAAAGGCCCTCTGATGAGGCATTAATTATCTCCCTGGTTTATCTGTTCTAAATTCAACAGGAGGAGCATTTAGACCATTACCCGAAAAAAATGTATTATTCACTATTCAATATCACTGCTTTGGACCTGAAAATGTTTTTAGTTTGTATACGACGCAATACCCGTTTTGGTCTGTCTTGTAAGAAGGAATTGTCATAGTATATGGTGAAGTATTGAACTACACGAATGTAAGAGCTAGGACGCAATCTGGGATTATGCTCAACAACACAAATAGCATTAGCAACTAATTCAAAGTTTTTCAACCATGTGCCCACAAGTGATCCAGTCTAACATTATGTAAATAGCCTGCTATTTCTTGACACTAAATATTAACAATGCCTGGTACTAGTATAGATGCCAGGCCCTTACAACGAGCAACACCAGCCATTATTCAATAACATCGATTGGGCATTGACCTGAAAAGCTGCACCGAGACGCTTGGGTTTAAACACATGGACATATGTGCTGGAGTTTGTCTGTACCCGTGTGCAGAACCAAAACATTAACGGCCAGTATACTTGACATTTGCAATATCGAGTTGGCTGAAGCATGATGAAGGCCATAGGGCGGCACAGCCGCCAATCAAACACCTATTTAGGCACTGTCTTTTCTCCGACTGTGCATCCTTATGTCGCCGCCCATTGTTGCGTCCTTGTCAATTGGCGACATGCGTGTAGATCTTTCGACACTAGTGCCCCACTCTTACAATCCTGGCTTGCCCAGTTGCAGTTCGTAATACTGCTGGAAACCATGTGTAGGTCCCTATCTACCTCTTCGATATTCCTTGAAAAAATTGTGTTACGTTTGGATTGCCCCAACATAAGCCCAAACAAGTATGAATTTTGTCACTTTAGGTCATATGTCTGGTTCCCTTAATAGTTCACTTCCTGAGCTCCGCAACTTGGTATAGTTAGTACTGTTTATCATTTTGAGATAACATGCCATTTTAATCAGCATGAACATGCTCAAACAATCTTTATTCCCCCCCCCCCCCCCCCCCCCCC